TGACGATCGACGAGGCCACCCGCTACAAGATTGCAACACTTTGCCAAGGGCGAGAGTTGAAACACATCCTCAATGCCCTGATGAACAGCTGGATCCGCTACTTTGGTCCGATGAGGACTTTGGTGTCTGATCAGGAGACATCTCTGATGACTGTGGCCGCTGGTGTTGAACTTCAGCGACTTGGCATTGCTCGCCAGCCTGGCGGCACAACTTCTGGAGTTCAAGGACAAAAGCACACATCAACTGGTTTGGTGGAGAAGCACATCGACCTCATCAAGTTGACTATGGCCAAACTTCAGGCCGAAGCTGGACGTTGGGGCCTGGAGATTGAGGGAGAAGAACTTGCCAGTGAGGCCAGCATGGCTTCGAACACAACACACCAGGTAGGAGGATATGCACCTACCACCATGCTGTTTGGAGTTCTTCCTCGTGGATATCTTGATCCTGAACAGCCTCCTCCTGGCGATGATGTCTCTCCTGATGAGTCTGCTTTTGAAAGATCCTTGAGATTGAGACAAGTTGCTCTTCAAGCAAGTCAGGCTGCGATCCTTGAGGCCAGAATAGCCAAGGCGAATCGCTCACGACCTCAACAACTTCCTGTGGCCGACATGACTCCTGGAACAACCAAAGTTGAAATCTTCCGTGATGACGGAGGTGGTTTTGGATGGCGTGGCCCAGCAACATTGCTGAAGATCAACGAGTCTGCTGGCACCGCCATTGTGGAATTCCAACAGCGACCCTATCTGATTGGACTTCGACACCTGAGACCTCTTCGAGTGAGCTACCTGCAGTTTGTGAACCAGGTCTTCACGACCACTGCCTCTGATGCTGAACAAGCTCTACGACGAATGAAGCTGGTGGTGGAACAGAGCTCACCATATCGACCTTTCACAATGGGAGAGATCCTGAAGTGCGAAAACGGTGAGAACCGAATGGTGAAGTTCCCCAAGGTTCACAGTGAGATGGCTGAAAAAGATGCTGAGTGACGCAGCGATCTTCCTTGCCTTCCATCATGATCGAGTCACCTTTCATGGGATCCGATATGGAAAGGGCATGAAAACCATTTTGGTGCCGAAGTACTCCAAGGGCACCCTCATCACTTGGACAGAAGGCCGTACCGGCATCGCTGTGACGGAGCACAACACGGACTCCATCATTCACATCAAGGAGCTCTTCAACACCGACATCGACAAGCTCTGCCATCTCTACTTGTTTGGCTATGTGCGGATTCAGACTGAAGACTCATGGATATCTGCACGCATCTGTCGACAACCTCATGCACAAGATCCACAAGCTCCCAGGGATCAGCAGACTGCTGATGAAACTATGTCCTCTTCTACCTCGGCAAGCGGTCAGCCTTCCGACATCTCCATTGAAGAGATCCACAAGAAACGCGAAGGCCCTGTGGAGATTGTGATTCAAGCGCCGGAAAGAAAGAAGGCCAAGCTCCACCTGAGCTCACTGTGGTGGATGTGCCAAAGACCAAAGAAGATCCTTCTACCTCAACCTCATGAAATCTGGTTTGAAGAACTGCCGAGATGGATGAGAAGGAAATTACGAACCTCTACAACTTCTACACCCTCAAGACTTCTTCTTCACCTTCACTGCAGAACGGAAGCACACCTCTACATCTACCTCTTGACTGGCGAGATCTACCGCGTTGATGAAGACACAGATGTTCTCGGCGAAGACCGAGTTCTTGAGAACTGGCCGGATTTTGAGGAGAGTGACAAGGCTGAGCTCAAGCAGTTTGTGGATGAGAAAGTTTTCCAGAAGGTGAAGCTAGATGAGCTTCCCGAAGATGTGGTTCTGGTCGACGCCACATGGGTGCGCAAATACAAGCGCCTTTCTTCTACCAGCTTGAAGGCCAAAAGCCGTTTGTGTGCCCGTGGATTTCTTGATCCACAGAAGCAGGAGCTCCCAACAAGAAGTACAACAGCGACAAGACTTAGCCAAAGACTGGTACTCTCCTTGACGGCGACCCACAACTTTGACATCAGGTCCTGGGATGTCAGTGGTGCCTTTCTCAAAGGTTTCAGCTTTGCCAAGGTGAAGGCAGTCTTACAGAGCAAAGGAATTTCATCTCCAAAGCGGAGAGTTGTGATCATTCCACCGGCCAATGTGTGGCGACACCTTGCCTCTATGGATGCCAGTTTTGACATCGGAGAAGGCCAACAAGGATTCTGGGGCTTGGAATGCAACAAGCCAGCCTACGGGCTGAACGATGCCCCTCTGGCATGGCAACTATGCCTCCATGAAAGCCTGGAGATCTCTGGAGGAACGCAAAGCCTCCTGGATGAGAATCTATGGTTCTGGAAAGCTGGAGGCCAACTTCAAGCTGTCATGACGACACACGTCGATGACATTGCTGTTTGTGGCAATTCCGAGTTCCTGGAGAAGGAGTACGCTTTTCTCAGCGGCCGATTTGGAAAGATCTCCGTGCAACAACCTCCATTTAACCACTGCGGAAGCCGGTACAACAAGATTGGGTCAAGTTTCTCCATCGACCAACAGGAGTTCATCGACAACATGAAGGTCATGGATTTCAAGGACCTTGGCGATGACCAGAGCAGACCCTTGACACCGGCCGAGACCTCCACACTTCGCAGCATCCTTGGTGGACTTCTTTGGATTACTGCGACGAGATTGGACTTGGTGGCTGACGTTGGAGTTTTGCAGTCGCGTGTGACAAAGGCGACAGTGCAAGACTTGCACTTGGCAAATGCCATCGTGAAGAAAGCGAAGATGGCGCAATACCGTGGTGTTGGCATTGTCTACAAGCACTTTCCAACGACCTCTCCATGGCGATTGGTGGCAGTGCATGACGCTAGTTCAGCGTCCAAGGGCAAGGCCTACTCTCAAGAAGGCATCATGATCCTCCTGATGCAGGACAACCTCAACTTCAACTCCCAGGTGCATTCGATCACCGGTTTGGAAGTGAGTGAAGAACATTTTGGAGGAGCAGCACATATCTTGTTTGCCCACGGTGCCAAAGCAAAACGAATCAGCTACTCAACATCTCATTCTGAGACACTTGCTGCCATTTCTGGATTAGAAACAGCTTCGCTGGTTGCTCTACGTTTGGCCGAACTTTTGGTGCCGACCGAGAAGCCGACATTGCAGCAGTTAGCTGCGCTTCAAGAAGCTGGAGTTCCTTTTCTTCCCGTCGATGCGATGACGGACTGCAAGGACTTCTACTCCCTGACAACTGGTGGCAGTGCTCTACCACAAGATCGCTCTCAACGAGTTTACATTTTGGCTCACCGTGAAGCCAGACTCTGTGGACGACTACGTTGGGTGATACTTGTACCAACTCAGTCAATGGTGGCAGATGCGCTGACAAAGCCGATGCTGAGCAAGCAGCTTTTACACCTGCTCTCGACTGGTTGCGTGGAGTTCTGCAACGAGAGTGGACATCCCTTGGAAGCGAGAAGACTTTCTCCAACTACCGACTTCAACGAAGATGATTTGGAAACTGGTGACAAGAAATGGATTGGAAATTTGATGACGATGGATGAGATCAAGAACCTTCAAGGTTTCTCTACATCATGGACGAGCTCTACACCCTGGACATCAAGATCAAGCTTCTGGATGATGGCCGCGCTTTGCACTTTGCAGATCAGACGCGGCCGAGCAGAAGGAGACACATGTGATGGACGCAACTCCGATGAGGAGCAAAAATTCGAGTTTCAGAAGGCGGTGATATACATTATATCCGCCGTGTGCATGTTTTTGTGCCTGGCTGTTTGGTATCTCTGGAAGTGTCTGCGAAGAATGCAGATGAGTATGGATGATTATCAGCGCCAGAGGATTCAACCGCTGCTTACAGCGAGCCTGGTGGACCGCATGTTGCAAGCTGAACACAACATCATGGAGGTGCAACTCCAAGCCAATGAGACAGTGGAGGACATCAACACCATCTACAGGACTCTGAGACGACGAGCTAGTCCACATCCTGATGAACGCTCAAGTTCCAGACCAAGGGTGACAGATACGAGACCAGTACAGCCTGAACCAGATGCCGAGGCTGACGAGACCAGATCCCACAGTCAACCTGAAGTGGAACGAGCATTCGATGAGACAGCTTCGAGATCTCGTGACGACAGTCCTTCTGGACCCAACTGGAGTGGTGAAGGAGAAGAAGAAGAATCAGGACACTTTGATGGTCAACCGATTGATGGAGACGATTTGGATGAAGTACCTCATGATTTGGATCGACATCAAATGCAAGAAGCTCGCCTGCGAAACCGACTTCATATCATGACGATCGAGTCGAACAACTTTGAGGTGCATCTGCAATCGCTGATGCTTCGTCGACGCAGAGCTGCGACTTTGCTTGAGGTGATTGACCTCTACAACAGACATGCTCCATCGCTGGACGCGCCTGGTGCCTACGAAGCCGAAGAGTTGCTGGGAACTACGACAGCGCCTGATGGTGTGCATCGCTTCTTTCTTCAAGAACGACACCCTGTGCATGGCGACACTGAGCTGACGTTCCTTAGCCAATCGGGACTGTACCAGTTCCGAAACCTTCGGTTGATCTACCGAGAGGACTGGCGAATGACTACTGGCGAAAGAGCCAGTCGCCTGTTCACTATTTACAACGGTATGAGCGTAGTGCAATGACTCCGCTGGTGGCTGAGAAACAACCCAAGCCATACAGCAACACTGTAGCAGACTGGAAATTTGTACTGCACAGTCATGAACATTTCTAACCTCTTACATGGAGGTGCACCTTTTGCCCGAGACTTCTAAAAGTGCTGCCAACTTCAATTATATAATATGTACGTGATGTCCACTAAACATACACATGATTCACATGATGTTACACATAGCCACCTTAGAATCCATTAGAATCTGTTAGATACTCCATGACATTCATGATTTATGCCATCTGTTGTTACACTTGAGCATGTTTTTCAAGAGTTTGACGGGTTTTCAAGTGTTTGAGATGGACGATTGCATCAGAATCCATGACATGTTTGTCCTCGGAGCTGCAGGCACATGCCAGGCACATGATCGATAATAAGTGGGTGGATGTAAAGCGACACGACAGTGACGCTCATGCAGCTGGACCAGTGTGAAACTTAGGGAACCAAGATGAGCCAAGATGAGCCAAGATGAGCCAAGATGAGCCAAGATGAGCCAAGTAGACTGTCTGATGCTCTTTTTGTTTCACAAAGCTTGCTCAGCACACAATCCTTTTGGGGGCTGAGATTTGCACTCAACGCTGAGGCTTCCATGCTGCGACACGATCGCAAAAATGAGGATCGGCGCGACGAGAAGAAGGACAGGAGCGATCGAGATCGCAAGAGGAAACACGAGGTTCGGCATTGGTCGGCAGTTTTGTGTTTTCTGAGTTTTGCCAGCTCTGATAGCCATGCAATTTCCAGCATGTGCGGTTTGTTGCGCAATATGCTTGGCAGCAGTGGGCTTCTGAAAATCTGAGGTGGAGGCAGAAGGGCAAAATGAGGACCGGAAGGCATGATCCAACTGAACCAACTGATCCAACTGCAGAGATCTGCACAGATCTGCACAGTGTTTACAGTGCAACCGGATGCAACCGGTGCGACTACCGGTACCGTTCAACTGGTTTTGGATTCGCGAGGCTGCCCAGTCTTTGCTGGAGAAGTCCATGAAAACTGCAATGGGACAGACACCTGGACTTGGAGCTTCAGTGAATGCATTCTTGGAAATATCAGAATTGAAATTGACCGGGCCATTGTAGATTTACATGATCTTGCCATTTACAAGATTTTACAAGTCGCATTCCTCCTGGGGGCCTGGCAATCTCAGGATGAGTGAAGAGAAAGGCCAGGAATCCAAACCGAACAGCCTCTTGGCATCTCTTGGCGTTGAAGACCTGTGTGAAGTACTATCTTTTGCAGATATCAATCTCGAATATATCGCAGTCTTTGATCTACTGGGTCCCATGTATATGATGTATATGTGCTTTGGATCGTCTTATAACTTATAACTTATACAACCCATGCCACTCATGCCGACATGTTTGGCGGGCCCTCTTAAGTCAACGACAACAACTGGGACCCTCCACAAAGGTGTGAACCCTGCGATGATGATGGGCATGATGAACATGCCTGGCACTTGGGTGGTTCATTTGCTTCCCTACTTGGTGCGCTTAGCGTGCAAATAGACAGAGGGAGCTTTCGCCAATTCAGTTTCATGACGCAAAAGATGACGAGAACAGGATCCTTTAAAGGATCAAATTGTCGTTTGATTTTGATGCTCCAATTTCTAATTTTTTTATTTGGCCGTGGTGTCATTTGTATTTGCTTCAGCCTCTGTGATGCTTTAGGAATCCAAATGAGCGGTTCGTTTACCCGGTGAGGATGCGGCCAATGATGATGGCAATGAACAATCCCATGATGGTCCGATCCTTGATGTGTGGTCATATCCAATGGGAGTGATCAAACTGGCTGCACCATGCTGCACCTGGTGGCGCAGGCAATGAAGATGATGGGAAAAGGCAAATCTGAAGGCCGAGATTTTCAATGTCTTTCTTGTGAAGCTCACGGACTGAAGCTCACACCTCTTGGTAGTGGCTGACACGTCTGTCGAAATCATTGATCAATGCATCGTCCACAGGCCACCCTGATGCGGACTCGGAACAAGGTGCCAATTTTCAGCACCACATGTTGCTGGAATGGGAGAAGTTCACATCCACACGTCTTGATGCTTTCAGCAGTCTAGCCCAAGCTGCGATGCAATGCGCAGGTGACCATGGTGCTGGCTCGTTTGTTCCTCAGATAGATTTCGCACTGTAATTTCATGTGATTTCCAGTCTCTGGTTCAATGATGTTGGATGTAGGTGCCTCATTTCTGGTTGGCAAACTGGTTTGACCTATCACCCAAACCTTTATATTAATGACAAGTTGAAAGAGTTTTAACCAGGCACCATACTGGATATGAAAACATAATAGACTGCCACCAGCAGAAGAACCAAAGTCAAAGCATAGGTTCAAAGGTGGCATTTGAAGCAGCGAATCTGAGTATACCTCACCCTGAGCCCTTCCAAGGCCTAAACCTTGTGGCAGCGGACCTTGTGGATGTGGAGGTTGCGGAGGTTGCGGAGGTTGTGGAGGTTGTGGATGTGGATGCCCTCCATGTTGCGGATGCGGCTGTGGCGGATGCGCATGTGGCCCCTGTGGCTGCGGTCCTTGTGGCTGCAGCTGTGGCGGTTGTGGCGGCTGCGGTTGTGGGTGTGGTGGATGTGGAGGCTGTGGAGGCTGCGGAGGCTGTGGCAACTGCTCTCCTTGTCAGGGCTGTGGCAGTGGTTGTTATGGTGCCTGCTGTGGTCCGGGCTGCGGCCCCTGCGGCCCCTGCGGCCCCTCCGGCCCCATGGGTGGGATGAGTCAGAATAGTCAGAGACCAAGTCCCTACTGACCTTCCTGAATTGAACATCCAGGCGGTGCCTTCCCGGAGCAAGACATTCATGACATCCACAATTGGACCTGATCTTAGATCCTGCGCGCATGGATGCAGCACATGAAATGGCTTTGGTCCGACGGACTGCATCCTTTGCAAGGACATGTCCTGCGAGTCATGAAGAGCGACAGGAGGATTCTCGGAAACTGTACGCAGTCCGCGCAGCTCACTGTACGCAGTTCACACAGATAAGCCAAGCTCGGCCGAGAACAGGTTGCTGTCCACATGGAGAAAAGGATTTGTGTGTCCCGACAACTGCCACCCTTACACTTTCTAGTTATTTCTGCTTAGTTTGAGAATCCAAGTTCCACAAGAGGGTGAGAGAGGCGACAACAACGATCTCATACTGTACACAGATCATTGGCAATCAACTTGTTATGGGAGTTGCAGCAAATTCTTGGAATTTTGTGCAGTTCACTAGCATGACCAAATTTGTTTGCACGGCGCACATGCCCACATAACGCGAACCTGCTCTATGGCCTCTGGGCTCTTGATCAAGCCACGCTGAGAAATGTAGCAAATAAAGTAATAATATCATGAAACTTAAGTTCAAAAAAACAGCTGCAGCAAGCTCTTCCAAGCTATGATGCTCAACAAGATAAGAAAACACCAAGATTCCCATCTAAACTATTTTCTCTATGCAGATAGTTTGGATCATGTCTTGTGAGTGAACAGGCCTATCTCCTTGCACCCTTCGAAAGGGATCCATGTCTCACAGGTAGCAACATGTTGGTGATGCAAAGAGGAGTACAATATACACATTATATTCACATTATAAACATATATATATATAAAAACATATATATATATATGTATATATATATATATATACATATATATATATACCCAAACAAAGCTGAAGCGTGAATACCGTAACATCAAAGGCAGCCAACACACCTTTCTAATCCTTTTTCCCTTTGACATGACGCGTCTGTGCACCATGGTGCCTCGAAGGCTGCCGCTTCGGTCCAGTTTTCTGGCGGCGAGGCGGCTGACTGAGCGCTCCAGGTTTGAGCCACATGGCACATGGACGTTCCGTCGTTGCTTGGCCATGAGCGTGGAGGCCTTCGGGTGGACTCTGCAGCGCAGATGGTATCAGAATTGCCTATCAAACACGAAAAAACACACCAAAAAGATGCGACAGCGCAACATATTTTCCAAATTTGTCCAATGGTTTTCGCACTTTTGCATGAGTTTTGGATGATTTTGCCTCATGGATGATTTTCATGTTTTTCATAGATTCTTCTCCAACGATCTCTATCCTTCCAGGAAGCCCGGAGGCGTGAGCGCATAGCCCACGAGTCGGCCAAAGCCAGAGGGGCCCAGTCGGTCAGTGCACAAACCGTGGGGAAACCCGACGTCAGGGACTGGTTGGGACCTAGATGGCACAGGTGGAGTGGAACCACTGACTTTGCCCATTTTTACCCTGATTTTTTTTGGCTCAAGCCGATTTAAAGGCTAGTTTTTGAGCAACTCCGGCCCACTTTAGACCTTTTGAACTTTTGGTGGCCATGGTGCGTGGAGCAAGGAAAGCTCTTGCTGTCGGAGTTGCAGTGGCTGTCGCATGCGGTCTCCAGAAGCACTTGAATTTTGTGCCTGGGCCTCGGCATGCTGCTCCAGTGGCCGCAGCAGCAGCCAGCATGATGATGGCTCCTGCGGCTTTTGCTGATGAGATCGGCGATGCTGCAAAGAAACTTGGGGATGCTTCCTACTCTTTTGCCAAGGAAGTGGACTGGAACAATGGCATTTTCCTGCAGGCCCCTGGCAAGTTTCAGCCCTTGGAAGCTTTGAAAGCCATTGACAAGATGATCGAAATGGGGGCGGCCGCAGATCCAAAGCTTCTGAAGGATGCAGCAGAAGCACATCACAAGGCCATTGGGAGCATCAGCGGGCCAAATGGTGTGACTTCGCGCGCAGACTGGGATGCTGTGAATGCAGCCATTGGCCGTGTAGTCGCTTCGGTCCCCAAAGCAAAGGTCATGGCCGTTTACGATTCAGTGAAAGCCATCACGGACCCCGGGGTGCCAGCGTACATGAAGTCCTTGGTGAACGGACCCGATGCCGAGAAGGCCTACCAAGGATTCCTGGAATTCAAGGATGTTGTTGAAAAGAACCAGGTGGCCACGGCCAGTGCTCCTGCAGTTGTGCCTTCTGGAGATAAAATTGGTGAAGCTGCAAAAGCGTTGTCCGATGCATCCTATCCTTTCATCAAGGACATTGATTGGCTGTCGGACATTTACCTGAAGCCGCTGCCCGGCAAGACCGCCCCAGAGACGCTGAAAGCCATTGACAAGATGATCGTGATGGGCGCGAAGATGGATGGAAACCTCTTGAAGGCAGCAGCAGAGGCACACCACAAGGCCATTGGCAGCATTGACGCCACTGGTGTGACGTCTGCGGCCGACTACGAAGCTGTGAATGCAGCCATTGGCCGCTTGGTGGCATCCGTGCCGAAGACAACTGTGATGGATGTGTACAATTCCATGGCTGGCGTGGTTGATTCCAGCGTCCCCAACAACTTGTTTTCGAAGGTGAACCCATTGGATGCAGTGGCTGCCGCCAAGGGTTTCTACACCTTCAAGGATGTTGTGGAGGCTTCCCAGCGCTGAAAGTGAAGACCATCAGCAGCATGAAGTTGCGACATTGCTTCAACATGCTTTAGCACACTTTTTAAATGTTGTATAGATACATAATGTTACGGACATTTGTAACAGTTTCTTGACATTTCTTGACCCAGAAGCCTCTCAAGCCATGGGAAGAAAAGCAAGATGCGCGACAAACGCTGTCAGATGCAATGCCAAACGGAGCAAAAGTGAACTCGGTAGATTACTTTGACACACTTCGACTGCCAAATTTTTGAACACTGTACATAGCAATCATACGTAAGCATGAACAACATTGAATAAACTGGAATAAACTGGGATTCAGAAATGACGGCAAGGTCGCAAGAGGTGCCTTTCTAGCCCTTCTCCATGAACTTGTGGTGACAGCCAATTTGTAAGTTTAATAAGTGTAAACAGACACTCTCTCTCTCTCTATAGTTATACAGTTATACAGATGTATACAGATGCTGCAGTTGATTGTGTCAAGATCATGTCGTACCTATTCAAATGTCATTGGCTCAAGCCAGTTTTAGCGGCTTCTTTTTTGAGCAACTCCGGCCCACTTTAGACCTTTTGAACTTTTGGTGGCCATGGTCCGTGGAGCAAGGAAAGCTCTTGCTGTCGGAGTTGCAGTGGCTGTCGCATGCGGTCTCCAGAAGCACTTGAATTTTGTGCCTGGGCCTCGGCATGCTGCTCCAGTGGCCGCAGCAGCAGCCAGCATGATGATGGCTCCTGCGGCTTTTGCTGATGAGATCGGCGATGCTGCAAAGAAGCTTGGGGATGCTTCCTACTCTTTTGCCAAGGAAGTGGACTGGAACAATGGCATTTTCCTGCAGGCCCCTGGCAAGTTTCAGCCCTTGGAAGCTTTGAAAGCCATTGACAAGATGATCGAAATGGGGGCAGCCGCAGATCCAAAGCTTCTGAAGGATGCAGCAGAAGCACATCACAAGGCCATTGGGAGCATCAGCGGGCCAAATGGTGTGACTTCGCGCGCTGACTGGGATGCTGTGAATGCAGCCATTGGCCGTGTAGTCGCTTCGGTCCCCAAAGCAAAGGTCATGGCCGTTTACGATTCAGTGAAAGCCATCACGGACCCCGGGGTGCCAGCGTACATGAAGTCCTTGGTGAACGGACCCGATGCCGAGAAGGCCTACCAAGGATTCCTGGAATTCAAGGATGTTGTTGAAAAGAACCAGGTGGCCACGGCCAGTGCTCCTGCAGTTGTGCCTTCTGGAGACAAAATTGGTGAAGCTGCAAAAGCCTTGTCCGATGCATCCTACCCTTTCATCAAGGACATTGATTGGCTGTCAGACATTTACTTGAAGCCGCTTCCCGGCAAGACTGCCCCAGAGACGCTGAAAGCCATTGACAAGATGATCGTGATGGGCGCGAAGATGGATGGAAACCTCTTGAAGGCAGCAGCAGAGGCACACCACAAGGCCATTGGCAGCATTGACGCCACTGGTGTGACGTCTGCGGCCGACTACGAAGCTGTGAATGCAGCCATTGGCCGCTTGGTGGCATCCGTGCCGAAGACAACTGTGATGGATGTGTACAATTCCATGGCTGGCGTGGTTGATTCCGCGTCCCCAACAACTTGTTTTCGAAGGTGAACCCATTGGATGCAGTGGCTGCCGCCAAGGGTTTCTACACCTTCAAGGATGTTGTGGAGGCTTCCCAGCGCTGAAAGTGAAGACCATCAGCAGCATGAAGTTGCGACATTGCTTCAACATGCTTTAGCACACTTTTTAAATGTTGTATAGATACATAATGTTACGGACATTTGTAACAGTTTCTTGACATTTCTTGACCCAGAAGCCTCTCAAGCCATGGGAAGAAAAGCAAGATGCGCGACAAACGCTGTCAGATGCAATGCCAAACGGAGCAAAAGTGAACTCGGTAGATTACTTTGACACACTTCGACTGCCAAATTTTTGAACACTGTCCATAGCAATCCGACGTAAGCATGAACAACATTGAATAAACTGGAATAAACTGGGATTCAGAAATGACGGCAAGGTCGCAAGAGGTGCCTTTCTAGCCCTTCTCCATAAACTTGTGGTGACAGCCAATTTGTAAGTTTAATAAGTGTAAACAGACACTCTCTCTCTCTCTATAGTTATACAGTTATACAGATGTATACAGATGCTGCAGTTGATTGTGTCAAGATCATGTCGTACCTATTCAAATGTCATTGGCTCAAGCCAGTTTTAGCGGCTTCTTTTTTGAGCAACTCCGGCCCACTTTAGACCTTTTGAACTTTTGGTGGCCATGGTCCGTGGAGCAAGGAAAGCTCTTGCTGTCGGAGTTGCGGTGGCTGTCGCATGCGGTCTCCAGAAGCACTTGAATTTTGTGCCTGGGCCTCGACATGCTGCTCCAGTGGCAGCAGCAGCAGCCAGCATGATGATGGCTCCTGCAGCTTTTGCTGATGAGATCGGCGATGCTGCAAAGAAGCTTGGGGATGCTTCCTACTCTTTTGCCAAGGAAGTGGACTGGAACAATGGCATTTTTCTGCAGGCCCCTGGCAAGTTTCAGCCCTTGGAAGCTTTGAAAGCCATTGACAAGATGATCGAAATGGGGGCGGCCGCAGATCCAAAGCTTCTGAAGGATGCAGCAGAAGCACATCACAAGGCCATTGGGAGCATCAGCGGGCCAAATGGTGTGACTTCGCGCGCTGACTGGGATGCTGTGAATGCAGCCATTGGCCGTGTAGTCGCTTCGGTCCCCAAAGCAAAGGTCATGGCCGTTTACGATTCAGTGAAAGCCATCACGGACCCCGGGGTGCCAGCGTACATGAAGTCCTTGGTGAACGGACCCGATGCCGAGAAGGCCTACCAAGGATTCCTGGAATTCAAGGATGTTGTTGAAAAGAACCAGGTGACCACCGCCAGTGCTCCTGCAGTTGTGCCTTCTGGGACAAAATTGGTGTAGCTGCAAAGGCGTTGTCCGATGCATCCTATCCTTTCATCAAGGACATCGATTGGCTGTCGGACATTTACCTGAAGCCGCTGCCCGGCAAGACTGCCCCAGAGACGCTGAAAGCCATTGACAAGATGATGTGATGGGCGCCAAGATGGATGGAAACCTCTTGAAGGCAGCAGCAGAGGCACACCACAAGGCCATTGGCAGCATTGATGCCACCGGCGTGACGTCTGCGGCCGACTACGAAGCTGTGAATGCAGCCATTGGCCGCTTGGTGGCATCCGTGCCGAAGACAACAGTGATGGATGTGTACAACTCTATGGCCGGAGTCGTTGATTCCACCGTCACCAACAACATGTTCTCGAAGGTGAATCCACTGGATGCAGTGGCTGCCGCCAAGGGCTTCTACACCTTCAAAGATGTTGTTGAGGCTGCCCAGCGCTGAAGGTGAAGACCATCAGAAGGAAGTTTCAATTGTTTAACATGCTCTAACACTTTTTTGATGTTGTATAGATACAGAATGTTACGGACATCTGTAACAGTTTCTTGACCCAGGCAAAAGGCTCTCAAGCACATGCAAAAAAGGGGAAAAACAAACACGCGCAACAAATGATGTGAGCTGCGATGCCAAACAAAGGAGTAAAAGTGAACGCTGCCAATTGGCGATTACTTTGACATGCTTGTACTTTCACAAAGTGCTGAATTTGGACACTGTATGTCATGAGTCATAAGCATTAACAATCTGGGATTCAGACATTGATGATGGCAAGATCGAAAGAGGTGCCTTTCTCTCTGTAGCGCTTCTTCGTGAACCTGTAGTGACTTACAGCACATAAGTAAGTTTAATACTGTATATAGTTTAAACGGCACTCCTTGTATAGTTTTATACAGATGTATGATGCATACAGATCTTACAGTTGATTTACCAGATTGATGTTTGGGAATACTGTGGTGCCACCAGCCCAGCTCCACAAATGGATATGGGATGGAATTGGTGTGTGATTTGCGCAAAAGAAGCAGTTGCAGCAAGCTGGATCTCCATGTGATTGCGGACATGTGAGGGATTCAAATGCGTGTGTCAAGATCATGTTGTACCCGGAAATGTACCAACTCAAATGTCATTGGCTCAAGCCAATTTTAGCGGCTAGTTAGCTAGTTTTTGATCAACTCCGGCTCACTTTAAGACTTTTAAACTTTTGGTGGCCATGGTGCGTGGAGCAAGGAAAGCTATTGCTGTCGGAGTTGCGGTGGCTGTTGCATGCGGTCTCCAGAAGCACTTGAATTTTGTGCCTGGGCCTCGGCATGCTGCTCCAGTGGCCGCAGCAGCAGCCAGCATGATGATGGCTCCTGCGGCTTTTGCTGATGAGATCGGCGATGCTGCAAAGAAGCTTGGGGATGCTTCCTACTCTTTTGCCAAGGAAGTGGACTGGAACAATGGCATTTTCCTGCAGGCCCCTGGCAAGTTTCAGCCCTTGGAAGCTTTGAAAGCCATTGACAAGATGATCGAAATGGGGGCAGCCGCAGATCCCAAGCTTCTGAAGGACGCAGCAGAAGCACATCACAAGGCCATTGGGAGCATCAGCGGGCCAAATGGTGTGACTTCGCGCGCTGACTGGGATGCGTGAATGCAGCCATTGGCCGTGTAGTCGCTTCGGTCCCCAAAGCAAAGGTCATGGCCGTTTACGATTCAGTGAACAGCCATCACGGACCCCGGAGTGCCAGCGTACATGAAGTCCTTGGTGAACGGACCCGATGCCGAGAAGGCCTACCAAGGATTCCTGGAATTCAAGGATGTTGTTGAAAAGAACCAGGTGGCCACGGCCAGTGCTCCTGCAGTTGTGCCTTCTGGAGACAAAATTGGTGAAGCTGCAAAAGCCTTGTCCGATGCATCCTACCCTTTCATCAAGGACATTGATTGGCTGTCAGACATTTACTTGAAGCCGCTTCCCGGCAAGACTGCCCCAGAGACGCTGAAAGCCATTGACAAGATGATCGTGATGGGCGCGAAGATGGATGGAAACCTCTTGAAGGCAGCAGCAGAGGCACACCACAAGGCCATTGGCAGCATTGATGCCACTGGTGTGACGTCTGCGGCCGACTACGAAGCTGTGAATGCAGCCATTGGCCGCTTGGTGGCATCCGTGCCGAAGACAACTGTGATGGATGTGTACAATTCCATGGCTGGCGTGGTTGATTCCAGCGTCCCCAACAACTTGTTTTCGAAGGTGAACCCATTGGATGCAGTGGCTGCCGCCAAGGGTTTCTACACCTTCAAGGATGTTGTGGAGGCTTCCCAGCGCTGAAAGTGAAGACCATCAGCAGCATGAAGTTGCGACATTGCTTCAACATGCTTTAGCACACTTTTTAAATGTTGTATAGATACATAATGTTACGGACATTTGTAACAGTTTCTTGACATTTCTTGACCCAGAAGCCTCTCAAGCCATGGGAAGAAAAGCAAGATGCGCGACAAACGCTGTCAGATGCAATGCCAAACGGAGCAAAAGTGAACTCGGTAGATTACTTTGACACACTTCGACTGCCAAATTTTTGAACACTGTACATAGCAATCATACGTAAGCATGAACAACATTGAATAAACTGGAATAAACTGGGATTCAGAAATGACGGCAAGGTCGCAAGAGGTGCCTTTCTAGCCCTTCTCCATGAACTTGTGGTGACAGCCAATTTGTAAGTTTAATAAGTGTAAACAGACACTCTCTCTCTCTATAGTTATACAGTTATACAGATGTATACAGATGCTGCAGTTGATTGTGTCAAGATCAAGTCGTACCTATTCAAATGTCATTGGCTCAAGCCAGTTTTAGCGGCTTCTTTTTTGAGCAACTCCGGCCCACTTTAGACCTTTTGAACTTTTGGTGGCCATGGTCCGTGGAGCAAGGAAAGCTCTTGCTGTCGGAGTTGCGGTGGCTGTCGCATGCGGTCTCCAGAAGCACTTGAATTTTGTGCCTGGGCCTCGACATGCTGCTCCAGTGGCAGCAGCAGCAGCCAGCATGATGATGGCTCCTGCAGCTTTTGCTGATGAGATCGGCGATGCTGCAAAGAAGCTTGGGGATGCTTCCTACTCTTTTGCCAAGGAAGTGGACTGGAACAATGGCATTTTCCTGCAGGCCCCTGGCAAGTTTCAGCCCTTGGAAGCTTTGAAAGCCATTGACAAGATGATCGAAATGGGGGCGGCCGCAGATCCAAAGCTTCTGAAGGATGCAGCAGAAGCACATCACAAGGCCATTGGGAGCATCAGCGGGCCAAATGGTGTGACTTCGCGCGCTGACTGGGATGCTGTGAATGCAGCCATTGGCCGTGTAGTCGCTTCGGTCCCCAAAGCAAAGGTCATGGCCGTTTACGATTCAGTGAACGCCATCACGGACCCCGGGGTGCCAGCGTACATGAAGTCCTTGGTGAACGGACCCGATGCCGAGAAGGCCTACCAAGGATTCCTGGAATTCAAGGATGTTGTTGAAAAGAACCAGGTGGCCACGGCCGGTGCTCCTGCAGTTGTGCCTTCTGGAGATAAAATTGGTGAAGCTGCAAAAGCGTTGTCCGATGCATCCTATCCTTTCATCAAGGACATTGATTGGCTGTCGGACATTTACCTGAAGCCGCTGCCCGGCAAGACCGCCCCAGAGACGCTGAAAGCCATTGACAAGATGATCGTGATGGGCGCGAAGATGGATGGAAACCTCTTGAAGGCAGCAGCAGAGGCACACCACAAGGCCATTGGCAGCATTGATGCCACTGGTGTGACGTCTGCGGCCGACTACGAAGCTGTGAATGCAGCCATTGGCCGCTTGGTGGCATCCGTGCCGAAGACAACTGTGATGGATGTGTACAATTCCATGGCTGGCGTGGTTGATTCCAGCGTCCCCAACAACTTGTTTTCGAAGGTGAACCCATTGGATGCAGTGGCTGCCGCCAAGGGTTTCTACACCTTCAAGGATGTTGTGGAGGCTTCCCAGCGCTGAAAGTGAAGACCATCAGCAGCATGAAGTTGCGACATTGCTTCAACATGCTTTAGCACACTTTTTAAATGTTGTATAGATACATAATGTTACGGACATTTGTAACAGTTTCTTGACATTTCTTGACCCAGAAGCCTCTCAAGCCATGGGAAGAAAAGCAAGATGCGCGACAAACGCTGTCAGATGCAATGCCAAACGATGGAGCAAAAGTGAACTTGGCCAATCGGAGATTACTTTGACATACTTCAACGAAGTGCCGGATTTGCCGAATTTGAACACTGTATAATAACATTGAACAAACATGAACAAACTGGGATTCAGAAATGAGGGCAAGGTTGCAAGAGGTGCCTTTCTAGCACTTCTGAAAGACCTGTGGTGACTTACAGCCTATTTGTAAGTGCAATAGTGTAACATAGTGTAGACGCTCTCTGTATAGTTATACAGATGTACACAGATGCTGCAGACTCAGTTGACTTATCATTTTCTTATTAATCTTTGAATGGGCAAAACAAAGCACGAATTATGGAAACATAGTGTACACGTGTTCACAAGAAACAAGCAGCGGCTGCCACATTTCTTCCAGGTTGATACTGGCTTCTCTGTGATTGTTGGCCTTTGCATCGCTTGTTGGTACTTTGACGCTTGGACCCATCGCAGAAATGGGTTGGGCTGAAGCCTGCTGTGGAGATTTTGGACGTCTTGGACTTTCCCTCTGGGGTTTGGAACGTTGCCATGGCAGATGTTTTTTTTTGAGTTTGAAGCCTGGCTCCAGCCTCCATGATGTGTCCATGGTGGCACAAAGTTTCACATCCCAGTCCTAGCTCTGCCAAAATGCTGTTGTTACTCGCGTGGAAGTACCGAACCTTCATCCATTCAAGTGTAAGTGTAAGTGTTGGTGTTGTTGTTGTTGTTGTGGTGGTGGTGGTGGTGGTGGTGGTGGCTGTTGTAGTTCTCGTTCTTGTGATGATAGCGATCTTGTCGCAACCACTGAATCTCTAGATTTCACCAAGTGGCGTTCCCAAGGACTGGTTTTCCGTTCGCAAAACCACTGGCGTGGAGCGGCTCAGCCGTTGGCTTCGAGCGCGTGAGATCGCGGTGGTTGGTAGCTCGGGGGTTCAAAGTTTGTGGAGATCCTCTTGTGTTGAAACTGTGTTGTGCCCGTTGCAACAAGTTCACACTGCAGATTGCAAGCGCTTCATAGTGCTTGACTTTTATGCTCAGGTGTCTTTCATTTGCAGTGTAGGCAGCCTCTTGTCTTCCGCTCAGGTTGTGTTTGAGTTGGACGATGTGATGTGCTGCAGGCTCCGCCTATGGCCATAGTTGCATGCTTTGCATGGTTTCATTTTGCGAAAACTTGACCCTAATTTCTAATGGGGGAATAGAATTTAACCGCAAGAACAACATTCAGCAAGAACAAGTTCTTGCAGAGCACCCACAAATATCTTACCGCCATGTTAATAATCTATATATCAACTATGCACTCCATATATAACCATCATCTCCAACAACAACATTCAACAGCCTGGCAGGTCACGTGGAGATCGCGGGGTGTCGCTGTTTCAGCTTGAGGACCCACCTGGGATCGGCAGGTGATGATTAAACCCCCATGAACCTGATACATATATGATATACAACATTATATATATATACACATATATATATATATAATCATATGATATATGTATAATTTAATATATATATATATTTATTATACATACATTATACGTATCATTAAATATGTACATGTAAGACACACACACACAATATCATTCTTTGCAGCCAGAAAATTGGAAGGAACCATTGGCCCAAGCGCAGGACTACTTCGCTGGCATCAGCCAAGACTTCGCCGAGGTGGCCCCTGCCCTGGCGCGCCGTGGCTACTTTTTGGCGGTGGTCAGGGCCGCCCAGCGGTGCCAGCGGTTGCCCATTGGGGATGGTGCAACCATCCAAATCATCCAAGGCATAAGGAGCTTTTGGAAGTCATGGATGACCTTATTTTATACCTTTTGTAGTGTTGAAACATGTTGAAAGCCATGGTGACTTGGGGATCCCTCATTTTTGAGAAACCCGCAGAGTACGCAAACGTGACAATTTCAGGGATACCGTCATGAGATGGGTCATGTTGGTGACCATATTGACCATCTTTGGCCAGCATTTTGGGGCAGATGGTGGAGTTTTTTTTGCTGAGGTGATTCGTGGTTTTCATCCTGCCAATAGGGAAGAAAAGAGCACAGAACTCAGAGAATGCAGTGAGGCACCAGATGGCCGCTACCTGTTTCCTTGCTGTGAAGTTGTGGTTATCACTGCATTAGTTGGTGATATTGCGAGTTCTTGCAGTGCAGGGTACAGCAAAAGTACCAGATTTCATATGATTTCCATTGATTTCCTTATATTTACAGACTTTTTACAGTGTCCAAGGTAGCCCATCCCGATGGTGGAGAAAAGAGGTCGCAGAGGCCTTGGCAACCTGCATCCTCGGTTTCTCATCGGGCTTCATTACATTTTCTTCAATATCCGACTGGTCGTCAATGCAGTCGGCCTAAAACATTTAATCTCTATACAATCGATAACAATGGATAGCTGCTATAGCTACTAGTCGCACATTTCAATACATTTCATTTTGCTTCACATGAAGGCCAATGCGACAATCCCTTGGGTTCTGTTTGTAATTATTTGATGTTGAACAGCATGCAGGAAGCGAAGGATGAATTTGTGGATGGCCCGGCAACCCACATTATGTGAGGAAAAGTACGTTGCCGGCCTGACGGATTTTTGACGGTTCTGGAAGGTAGAACTGGTTTTCAAGACCTGTGCCTGGACTCGTGAAGCACACTGTCGGGTTTCAACCTGGAAAACATGTTTTGCAACCAGGAGACAACATAGACAACTAGCAACAAGGAGAACGGCATAGAGCTGCAGACATTTTGGCAGCTCAGGCCCCGAGCTGGCGCGAAAGCTGATCGCGCGGCGCTGCCCGGATGCCTTGCCCAGTTTTCAGGCCACCCATGGCCACCCTGGCAGCCCATGGGGAAGGTTCCTTTCCGGAAACCCAAAATAACCTATGGATCCTATGGTTTCCACGATTTTTAAAGTGTCAGGTCTTCCAATTGGGTTGGAGGTTGGGTGTTTTCTATGCTCGTGAGCATAGACCCGCAGGCCATTAGCACCACCCAGGACAGAAAGGCCCACCGGTGTGCGGGGGGATGGGGTTGGTGATGATCCATGGTGACAGCTGGTGACAGCTTTGAAAACTGGTGGCCGTTTTTCACATCCAGGTGGATGGCTCCAGTCTTGAGGACGCCATGCAACAAATTGCCAAAGAGTACCGGGTGCCGGCCTGGAGACTCAATTATTATTGTGGCATATTGTGGCCTCCTGCCTTGCGACGAGAAATGACAACTGAGCTGCTGAATTTGGGCTTTCAGGCCATTGACCTCAAGGTACTGTAAAACCAGTTGGTGTTGTCTTGGACTGAACATCGACCGTTATTGTAGATTATGGAGCTGGGTCCCCAAATTCTGAAGCACGCCCAAGTCAGCAAGCAGATCCATGGGCCGCGGCTCCGGCTTACCTCAGGCGAGGCGGATGGTGCTTTTTACGGTCAGCTGCTTTGCCTCTCCATGGGGTAGTGATAGAGACTTGCAGTGCTTTGAAGTGTCTTGCCACATCTTGCGAATTCTCCTGGTACATGTTTGAAAGAGACCACGGATTGCACTTCGCTTAAACTTACTGTAGATGCACCCAAGACTCACAGGTTTGGAAGGCTTGACAGAGAGCTGAGGGCAGTTCTGAATCAGCCCCCAAGATCTCTGGCCCCTGACGCAAGTCCAGCGTTCTCCTATACCCAGGCCTCTAACGCATTTGAACAAGATGGACAAGATAAGACCTGGACAGGCATTCACGTGCCTAATCCCAAAGAAGGCTCTCCCAGCAGCAACTGACCACAGACTGTTGGCTCGCAAGTTGCATCAATTAAACGTACGGGTGTGTTTTCTCGAGCCTGGGGCCTTTTGTCTAGAGTCTAGAGATGTCTAGCGTGTTCTTTCATTTTGTTGGATGACATCCGACGAAGCCAACATATCAAAGAGGGAATTCATTCTGTTTGCTGCTTTTTGCGTTTGGGTGCAACTGGAGTACTCCCAGACATTGACCTGCCATGACTCACGGGTCAAGAGCATCAACCTTCTGGGCACAAATCGGAAAACAACCAGTCACATGATTTCGGAGATCTCTTCCGTTTGTTGCAAGGCTTCAGACACGATGATTACCAGCTCCCCACAAGTCTTGATGAAGGCAAGGCAGAGAGGTTTCAGAGCAGTCTCCAGTCTGAAGTTTAAGGCTCTTTACCAAATGATTTCCAATATTTTTCTAGGACCAGCGGCGAATTGAGGCTACTTGACGCTGCTTCCAGCTGTGTTGGAACAGGTCCGTGGTCGGGGTGGGAGCGCGTCGGACGTGTGGCCTTTTGAGATCATTGAATGGAATTGGAGTCAAGAATGGATCTTGTCACCAGTGCTTTTTAGACAAGGGCACTTTCATTCCTGGCATCTCTGTTTGGCTCATCCCGTTCAGTGCCTGACATTACCTTGTGGTGTTTGGACCTTGTATGTAGCCCGTGAGACTGAGGCGTGGGGTTTTGTCGCCAAGAGACTTTAAGACGGTCCGGCGATGGAAAAGGCGAAGAATGCTCAGAAGTGCTTGGTTCGTTGTCGATTGATTTTTCATTTGGTCATGCTAAGTGTGGGAGGGATCACTGATATAGGCTTGGCATTTGCTGAAACATCCATGAAATGCATTGAAATGCTGTAGACCTATCAGCTTGGCGAACACATGTAGAATTTTGAGAAGTAGAAAATAACCAGCCCAGTTTTGTGGTAGGTCTTCCTGAGACATATGAGCAGCACCAAGAACCTCCATGAAGGGATTTAGTATTTCATATTATGAATACTACATCATACTACTCTGTCTATACTTTCTTTCTCTGTGGACTCGCTGATGCAATGCTGCCCTTATGAAGCTTTGGCTCAGACAGTAGAAGCTAAACAGGTGAAGCTGCTGCGCGAGGAACAGGGCAGTTGGTTGCATGAACGGCCACAAGATGCTGCAAGTGCGGTCAACGACTACAGGCCCCGGGTCATGCATACTGTAGCCATAGTAGAAGACACAGCTGAAGAGACTCTCTCTTTAGAGAATGGCTGTGCGCCATTAAGGATTGTAAGCCCGCGAGAGCAAACCGCAACAAGCCATCAAAAGCCCATCGTTAGTTGTTGCTATGAGACCCCACCGTTGATCCATGGCAGTGGAGGACTTGGGTTGGTCGTCGGCGCTGATGCGGTCGGATGTGACAGAAGTGTTTTATGTTGTCTTGCGTCTTGTAATATCCTCGGTTGAAGTGATTGTGACGGATACTTTCAACTCTGGCACCGTAGACACAAACAGCAGCAAACAAATGTGGATATCAGGATGCGTCTCCCACCCCTGCGGGGGGTGGACCTGCGGGGAAGCTCTGAAGTCGGAGGGTACGAGAAGGGTCATCAGATTCCAATCCTGACAGCATAGATTCAATGCACACTATAGTCACTATAATAGCTTTTGGATACACCCCAAACAACCTTATACGTGAACCACAAACAGCTGCTGTTTGTTCCGTCATTTTCTACAATCACTGGATATACAATCACTGGATACTTTTAATGGATTTGGACAGTTGTTTTCTGCCGCGCGCATGGTTTTTGAGGCCGCAGCTCATTTCCTCAACTTGGAAGGCACCTGTGGGCATTTGTAGACACGAAACATGCGATTCGAAGAAACGAATACTGAAATGATATGGGCGGAGAACATCGAACCAGTGATTCCTGAAGAAGCTAAGCATACGACGAATGGTCAAAATTTCAAGCCCTGGGAGCCACAAATTTTGGTCACCACAAATTTTGGTCACGGTGTCATCCAAAGTTGGAGCATCAGCGAGGGGTTCCCAGCGTCAGGCAGGCAGAGCGGGTGTCTACTTGGAGGCCTGGATGTCTTTAGCAAGGACCAATCTCCAGAGCCTAAAGATCCACAACTGCACCAGCTGCACCACGATTTTCGTCCATTTGTTCCATTTTGTTTGAGACTTCAACATGCAAATGTCTTCCAAAATCACTGCAGGGTTGGCAAATTGCCTGTGCATGGATGGTTTGGTGCGTTCCTATACAATGGTGAATTGAGCTGTTCAAAGTAATTTTGGCGGCTTTTGGCCAACATATTCCTTGGTGCCAGAGACTCTGTCGGTGGTCATTCCACATATTCCACGTTCAAGCCGTTTCAACAGCAGTGCATTCACCAGTTGAAGTATACCAGGTAGATTTTGGGGAATATCAAGGAGATTCAAGGAGAAAATATGAACAAAACATAACAAAACCAACATAACATCATATAACATCCATATCGAATTCCAGAAGTCAGAATCAATGCCTGCAGCTGGAGGCAAGTCGACCAGCAAAGAGTGTGGCCCTCGGTGTATTGGGCTGTTCCCGGGTGGGTCCTTCCACAAGCTGGGGAAGTGCGAAGCAGCAGGACCCCCCCAACAGACCTAATTCATCTCCAGATACTTGAAGGTGATGTGAAAAAAACAACACCAAAGGGGACATTTACCAGCCCCTGTTGAACGTTTAGGATCTCAGACCTTGTATTTTGACGTGGTGAACATTTTGAGCACCATGATTTTTGATGGTAAATACATGCAACTAATATGTATTATATATATATATCATTATATATCTTATATATATATATACATACATACATTTGTAAGCAGTGCAGGGGTAGAGGCTGTCTCATTTGCTTGGGAGTGTCATGATTCAGAATTCATGGATTGGGAATCCCTCTCAGCCATCCAAAACGAGTATCTGTTGGATAGTGATAGTGCTTGCTTGAGATTGGGCGATGAGTCCCTTGCCAAAAATGTGGTTGGGCCAGATGGTTCCATGAAAGTCTTAGCGTTTTGAGGGGCACCGCCAGAACCCGAAAAATCAATTCTAAACCCCCAAAGAGCCGCTCCACCACAATCATTGCAAACCACAATTAATATAAACCACAATCATTGTAAATTGATTGTAGCATTTGCATTTACATCCTTGTCATATTTTATCCAAATTTATTGCACACATGCTGTACGTTGAAAACGCACATCACTTTGCCAGATTGAACTAGGTTGTGCATTTGAAACAATGTCTTTCAGTTCTGGACACAGTCACACGCATGACTTTTGTTGGACAACATGCTGCAAACCTTCCACCGTCATTCAGCATGAGCCCTAACATCTTGTTGAAAGCAGCAACTTGAAACCTGGCATCTTCCCAGCTGTCCATGAGGAGCGTGCCCTCCTCGCCGGTGGCGGGAAAGAAGTCGGCCTTGAAGAAGACGCGCATTGCCGAGGCCCATGGACAAAGCTGTGGGCTGTGGGTTTTTTTAGATGTATTTTTCTGAGTTGTTCATAGTTTTCCTCCACGATCCTATTCTTTGAAACTATAGATACTATAGCACTTGAATGCACTTGACATCTTGGGAGGTAAAACGTGCGTTTTTCATCAAAACGCAGGTCAGTTCTCATCCCAAAACTCCGTTCCCAAAAGGCAGCTTTCATGTTTTTTCATGCGGCTTTCCAGCAGCTCGGCATGGCTACAGGAAAAACCCAAGTGTAGCGAACGCTTCATGTCGGCGTTTCGGGACCTTGCGCAAGCTGGCCTGGGCCACCTGGGCCACCTGGGCCACCTGGGCCACCCTGGGCCACCTGGTCTCCGCAGATTTGGTGTCTCTATGCGCATCAAAAAAAAGAGATGACTATCATCGTGACATAAATTTCCCATGACATGTTTTTTTTCCGTAGTGACTATAAATAGTGACTATAGATGAATCCAGGTTTTTCGGCACGAATTTTGTGACATTCCATACCTTCAGGAGCTGCTACGAGCGGCCAGTTCTGGGTTCTTTGTGTCCATTCATGATTTTGGTGCAGTGACAAAGAAACCAGTGATGCTGGCGGAATCTGGTGAATGTGAAATCATGCAACATGTCAGGCCCAAAACCCAAACTGATGAATGTAATTAATGCAGTCCATTCAATTTGATTGATACAATATTATAGAATCAATTCTGAGATGACGATTTGATATCAATGGATTGGTTGAAGGGAACATTTACAGAAAAACACATTAAACAACCATATGGACCATATTTGATGGGAAAATCCATGGTTTCCGGTTAAGATTTTCCCTTAAACCAATCCATTTGATGATAAACATATCAACATGTCCAGCAGCCTTGCCGTTGAAGGCAAAGAGCAAACCAGTGACGAACTCCTCGAAGAGTGCGGGCACCCAGTCACGTTGGGGTGGCGGGAGGCCTTCACAGATCGCGATGGGTCAAGCTTGAAGACAAAGGGTACCACAACATATATGTAATGATGATATATATAATATATATAATATATATATATATAAACTAGATGTATATAATTTTATATAACACATTTTTGACATTTTTTGACCACTACAGTCACTACATCCAGTAGGTGTGTGGGATCCATCAGCCCCTCAGGTGTGCCAGACTGGCCGAGCAGCTGGAGCCCTTGGCTCGGGGGCCCATTCACCGGTTATTGTTACCATAATGGGGGAATTTTAGCATCAAAACCATCAAAAAATTCACCGGCGATTCTAGGGTATCAATGGGTATCAATGGGTATCAGGGGTTTGAGCCATAGCCAAATCACAGCTATTTTGCTGTGAACCACCGATTCCATGGCTTTTGACAGGTGAAGGAGTTGTGCGAGAAATCCGCAAAAGCTGGGCTGGGCGACGACGCCGAAGCGCGCCGCCGGCGTCTCAGGGAATCCATGAGCTGGAGAAGAAAAAATAATATCAATATCCGTTAATATTATGTATATGTATATATATATACGTATGTATATATATATAATTATACGTTCTAAGGGAAAATCGTCCAAGAAAAGTGGAACTTCTGGGTTTCTGGGTTTCCAATTTGAGTTGGGATCGGCTGTTGTTTATTCAAGACACATTAGGACATCGACCCAAAGATTGCCCCGGGCAGAGCGCCTGAGGAAATCTGAGCAAAATCTTGTTCGATGGTCCGGAGAAGGCTGTGGAGCCGGCTGAAAGGGCTACCAACTAAGACACCAGTGGAATCTATAGATTTGTATGCTTTTGTTGTAGCTTGAAGTGACTTTGTTGGAGCAATATTCAACCCAGTATGCACTGGAGTAGGGTTGCCGAATTCTGATCAAACTTGGTTGGGTGCCTGGGAACGGACGACCTGCAGGAGAAAGATTCGAGCAAGGCGGATTTGGAGCTCAACTTTGCATACGTGAAGACCGTGAAGGGTGAATTGCATGACATGAGCCCACCATATCCCATGTGATGCACCTTCTGACATCAGTTGTTTTAGAGATTTTAGGGCATGTGCTTCCTGATGGAGGATCCTGAAGGTCCCCAGTTGCCAGGCGCGAAAGGGCACCACCGTGTTGCAGTTGGCGGAGGATAGCTTGAGGCGACCCCAGGGCCCTGGGGGCCGCGGGTTGGATACTTGGAACCTCTGAGATTGCGCCAGGAACACAGTTGAGATTCGTGGCGTCTGAATTCACCAATTGAGAAGCGGTATTATTGCCGTTCAAACATGGTCGAACTGCATTCTCTTTGCACTTACATTGCTTCTCTGCATGTATCCCATATGTAGCAACTGCAGCCTCTTTAGCCAGGTCTTGAATGCGTTAAACATTGCAGTTTACCTCCTTGTTGCTTCTAGCAGGGTCAAGACTAACACGTCTAGTTTCCTTCACCCTTGGATACCTCTTGCGCATTGTGTTTCGTGGTGTGCGATGCTTTGGTTTGGTGGCCAATGTGTCTGTTCACGCAAAAACACTACATTCCGCAAATTCAAGTCAACAAAGGAACCTTGGAAGTGGATTCCCATTTCCCCAAGAGCTCCGAACAAGACATCATGAATCATGAATGGCATGGCGAATTTCCCAAGACAACATGTGGACCACATGATCTGCCTCGCAGGGAGAAGGACAAGCGGCAGCTTCAGCCACAAAGGACTGCAGTGAGCACAGCTGGCAGTGGGATCATGTGGGATCGATGAACAGGCAACTAGGATCAAATGGGGATGGGTCAAAACCCTATCCCCCTGGTGAACATCAAAATAGCTGGTAAATGGATGTTCATCCCCCTAAAAATGGTATGTATAGGTATTGATCCATAGCCAAATAGGGTCAAACAGGATAAACCATGATGAACCGTTGGATGACAGTAATCTGACCGTTTTTCAACGCTCCAGTGGAGTCTCTGCAGGAGCATCGTCTGTCCGCTGGATTTGGATCACGACTATGACGATGATGATCTCGAGGAGTCGCAGGCGAATGATTTTGCTCAGCTGTCCCATCTCGTTCCCCTCCAGACATCGTAGAGATTTGTAGAGGACGTCCCATAGATTCCCATAGTCTCCCTGGGTCAGAAAGATCGGCAGTGTTCACGTATGTTCACGTATGTTCACGTGAAGTTTTGCTTAGGGGCCGATCATGACCAGCAAGTACTCCTACAAGAAGGCGTGGCTTCCACTGCATGTTGCCGATGGCCTTGGCGAAACGAGGGTCCGATTTTGGGGCTGCTGATTCGACAGTCAGATGTCAGGCTGCTCCAGCCAAAGCCGCGGCGGCGCAAAGGGCTCAGCTTGGATGGGTATTCCAGGTGCCAAACTTTGAGGCCAAATGTGCAAGACCTAGAGGTCTTAGATTTTGGAGGTAATTTTTCTGTTCCACTCCTTATACATCTTATATTCATTTATATTCCTTGTGCATCCTTGTGCCGGTCTTGACAAATCGCTTGCAATCGCTTGCCCCACTCCAAGCCGCCTAGCCGGCTGCGAGGACAGAAACGCCATCCGAAGGTGAACAGCATCCCTTGTTTGAGGCACAGAAGGGTCAGTGGTGGCCAGCTACCTGGGAGTGTTGGGAAGGAGGCATGGAACATGGTGAAATTCGCCTCAGGTGGAGTTGCAATCAAGACATCGCAGGAAGAACTCTGCAACTTTAGAACTTGTAGATTTTTGCAGGGATCATCCATGTGACACTGTGGGGACAAGAAAAACACATATATCATATACAATATATATATATATGTAATATATATATATATCTATAGATATGATATATTGTATATAATAACTGTGGAAGATGTGCCTGGGCAGTTTTTGCTTTGTCCGCAACCAGGCCATGGTGGAGATGCAGGGGGAAGTGACCTGCTTGTCAGAGGTGGCAGAAGGGGTTGCACAGCGCTGGCGACCAGTGCAAGCCATCTGTGATGAGATTTGAACGTGTGCGAAGCTTGCAAACACCTGTCCAACTTTGAAGGTCTAAAGAGTTGTAAAGAGATGTAAAGCGCTAACATCAGAGAATCATAGAGAATCATCCACCAAGCACAGCTATGTGCTTCAGTGACAGACCCATGGGAATTCCACGTTGGACGCTACATGACGCTACGCTTCTGTGGAGGCACTTGAGGGCCTACCGGAGAGCGTTTTCCAGGCTCCTCTGGATCCAGCGAATTCGATCCCAGCACCACTGTTCTACGTGGGAGACCACAGGGGACGGGACCATCATTGGGACCATTGGAGACGGGGACTACAGAAAAGTTCGAGTTTGCATTGCAAGGGAGTTGCAAGACACCAGTCTAGTCGAATGAATTGGACTCAGACCATGTCAGCTTAAAGATCTTAAAGATTTGACCAGCTTTGAATGTATTGCCAGATGATTGCCAGATGATTGCCAGCATTCACAGCTTCAACAAGAACCTTTGGGATTCCAAAGATATCCAAAGATTTGGTCGCAACTGTGCAACTGAGGCAGTGGGTCGATTGAAGAGCCCTGGAGTCGTAAAGCGACTTGGTGGCAGAGGATCCCCAAACCAGCCGATTTTGGGATCTTGTATTGTATAACTGTACATAATGAATGTATTGATATTTCCCCCAGCGAGGCTAAAAGATTTGTTCGGCATTTGGACACCTGTCTTCTTTCAGCTTCCAAGATTTCGCAGCTGCAGGTTGCTTCTTCAAAACAAAGCCAGCCCTCTGGTGCGCTCTCACACCAAATGGGAGTCCTCTGCCTCAGCTGGGATCGCCATGCTTCGCCAATCCCATGATTTCATCGTGATTGGTGCCGCAGATGCCCTTTCGGTCGAAGTGGTTGCCATTGTTTTGAGATCTTTTGAGTATCAGTATCATAAACTCCTGCTCTTGAAGGGTATCCTGGGTGCCAGCCCGTGTCAGCAGATTTCCAAAGCCTTCGTGGCACTTCGTGGCTCCCAGGATCTTTGAGAAGGGTATGACACCTCTACAAGCCGCGCCTTCCTCAGCATCGCAGCATCACCGATCCCATGGCGAGGAAAGGTCAACGATTTCCCAAGGTTCTGAAGAGCAAAGGCAAAGGGGCCTGGCTTCCCAGACACTTCAGGTCACACAGGTCACACAAGTCAGGTCTGCTCCAAAACTTAAAACATCAACCTATCCAGGAGAGAGAGAGAGAGAGAACTTGGGACTTCAGAATTCAAAGTATTCAAGTCAAGAACGAATCTCTTTAAAATACCTTTCAAACGCAGGAGTGCCAAAGCAACTTTCTGCAATCTGCAGATGAAGGCTGTGATGCTTTGTGCTCCACCTGCCTTTTGAGGACAATCGTATGGAAGCCATCCGAGATCTCTTGAAGCACTCTGAGGCGCAGCCCCAACCCGCTACAGCTAAAGTTTGACATGGACATTCCAAGTCTCCCAAGGGTCTACTGACTGGAATCTGGGACACTGTTTCAATGTGTTTCACTCCTTATCATTTTGCTCGCTCAAGAACATTGCGATCATTGGGTTCTCCTTCAAGATTTTCAAGTTTCAACTGTCTCTCTGTAGAATTGATGAAACACATCACTTTAGGATTCCAAGCCACTGCGTGCACCTTCCACGTGTGCCCAGGAATCCTCCGGTGAGGAAGTGCTGGGAACTCAATGGGGCAAACCTCAACCATCCACATCCAAAACAACGGGGAAACCAGGACTTTTTACTTTAGAGACAAAACACCAGAGCGGTGGGTTCCATTCAACTTGATGTTGCCTGGTTTGCAAGGGCCAAGAAGATGTCAGAAACTCAGCGCGGTTGGCAAATGGAGGTTCCTTTGACTGGCAGTGCTGTGAAGAGGAACTATGGGAACTATAGTTATGACTGGCTGTGACATGCATGGGAAAAAACACACAAAGTTTGATAGTGACAGTGACATGGTAAATAATGGTACGCAGACTCAAATGACGCGAGTGACAAAGTGGTTCGCAAAGATTGAGTTTTTTTTTTTTTAAATAGAATTATGTTTGAAAACAAACAAAGGAACGTTGAGCCTTTACAATCTGCCAAATTCATCCAACATTGGTGTTCCTCTGTTTTTTTTTTTACCCATTCCCATGCGCCACAGGTCTGAGACGCGCAAACGAGCGTTGAGTTTCACTGGTCAGTTGCATCTTCCAGCTGGGCCCCAGCTGTGGATTCACAGGGAATCACTCAACAGTTCCTCCAAAAAAATGGAGTTTTCCGTGGTTTGTTCTCAAACTTACAGATACAGTGAGTAATTACATTAATGTAATTAAAACAAACAATGTTGATCCATTTTCAATCATTTTCACCAGGATTTTCCATGAAGTTCATCAAACATTGGGGTTTTCATCCATTTTCATCCATTTTCTGGAAATGTTTGAATTGGGTTTCTCATCCCACTGTTCATTTTCATCCATTTCTTGACCAAGGCGACGAACACTGAACAGCTGGGCATGGGCAGGGGCGGCATGTCTGAGTCGCTGGACATGGTCTCTGAGGATTGCGGCACGTCGGGAGTCCCTTTGAACGCTTTGAAGGGGTCTCTTTGGAAGCTCCTTTGAGGCTCCAGAATGGTGACTGTTGGTTCTTTTATGATAGTTGATGATATTTTGAATGATGTTTGATGTTGATGATGTTGTTTTTCTGCTTGGAATTAGGAAGAGATAGTGATCGGCTCATCTTTCTTAAGTGTGTTGGAAGGACCAACATACCCAGAAGCAGGGTGATTCTGAGTGGTTGCAGCAGTTGTCACAAATTAAACACGCCAGCACTTGCGTGGAAAATTGGACGAGGTTTGTGCAGAAATCCGTCGCCAGAGACTTGTGGACATGAAGCATCAGCACCATTTGACATCATGTTTGAAGTGAAATTGACGTCGATTTTGCTATGGACATATATAAACGCATAAACATCAAAACCCAACTTGAACAGCCAAATCAGCCAATAGATTCAATAGATAAAGGATAATGGATATTGTATTTATATATATATATATACACAGTTATATACATATATATTTATAAATATATATATATATTTGCACATACACAAAGTCATGCACACATATACATTATCCATGTCATGACAGTTGGTGGTCCCCCAAATTTGTGACTTTCTACCAAGCTCCGCACTGAGGATGCAGCCACCTTCAGTCGCTTACGACGGCGGTTGGAGTCCCAGGAAGATGTTGGATCCGCAGCGAAGGGCACTCTGATTCTGTATGACTCCATCGTATGCAGTGGCAGTTGCCTTCGTTTGTAGTTCGCAGATACCACCAAGAGTACGTATATGTACAACTATTTATGTATGTATGTATATATAATCTATATACATATATATATATATATATATGTGCACACACACACACATATTTGTTTGACATCAGTTTCTCTGTAGGCAGTGTGTGCCAAGTTATACATACGTTTGCTCGATGGTGTCTTTCATTCAGACCGGAAGACACACATAGGGATAGAACTTCTTGGTGGGAAGTTCAATCCGATTTGTCGTCTTTCCCAACAGTAAAAAACCGCATGTTTCGGAATGTGGAGGACCGAAACATACAGAAACAAACCGAAAAAACGGTGCGCAGCTTCCGTCGGGATTCAACCAACCCGAAACAGGGCAAGGTTGAAGATTCTTTGTTTGGTTTTTGGGTAACCACATCCGTCACTTTTTTGGGGGTTGAAGTCACGTTATCAATAGCTTAAAAGAGTTTTACCCAAATATGGTTTGTACAGCAGTTTGAAGATCGATTCAACCATCCTTTTCCCTAATATTAAATCCCGGGCGCTGATTATGGGAATGGTAGATAACTATGTATGTGCGTATGAACAAGAATTATGTAGAGATATGCAAACAAGTTGTAAGTCTAGATGCGGCATGGACGCTGAAAAAAATACGTTTGAACGTCTTGACTTGTTGTCTTTGCATTCCCAAGGTCTCCAGAAACCATTTTTTTTTAAATACAGTTGCAGCCACAAACGACATGACAAGTTTTTTTTTTCAGCATACAAGAAACACATAGCACATGGCAAAAAACACCGTGTGCAAAACAGCTTTCTTAACAAACGTACAATGAGGGTCATCATCCCTGCAGGGCCCCCAAGGAGGATCCTTGGTGCCCCTGGGGGTGAGGCACAGCGTGGGAGGAGTGCGCAGAGTGACTGGGTGCCCAGTGGCGGAGAAACCAGCGGATGGGTAGACAGTGCTTTTTTTTACATCAATTAACAACAGTTATCTGTTGTTAACAATAGTTCAATAATGTTCAATATAGTTATTTCATGTTATTTCATGTTATTTATACATTCGAACATTTTCCACCTCTCATTCTGAGTGAATGGTGGCCGATGAAACATTGCCACATTCCAAGGAACAGCCTGGCCTGAGTCTCAGTGCCGTCATCTGTCATCCCGAACTGGAAGCATACCATTGACTGATTGGTGATTGTAAATTGCAAACAAACATATGGATCTGAAATGGTGCAAATGGTGATTCAACGAACAGTTGAATAACAAGGTGTATATTCAGCCAATAGTGATGGGGAGAACAATGGAGACATCTTCTGTGTCCATCTCCGCCTGGGATGATGATCCAAATGGCTGATATTTTTTTGGATGGGCTGGATGGGTTCAAACATTTCAAACCATCAACCAGTTGAAAAATCCCTTCTGGTTTACGATGGGTGGCTCTGTCATTTGTTGGGCACGGAGACTTGCAGGCTACAAGGTTCATTGGAATTGCGTGTGTGAAACGCTTTGGTTTTTGACATTGAACTCTTCCCAACGATCAATTCTTTCAACATTACAAATATAATTCTATGTTCTTCATATATCCTTTTTCAATCAGTGTTTCTGAATTTCAACTCCAAATCACAAGAACACACCAACAGTTTTCGGCATCTCAGGGTCGGCGGCCCAGCGTGTGAGCCTCAGTTGATGACTGTGAAACTCCAGGAAGATGAAACCTGTTGAGCAATCTTTGCACGGAAATGTATTACACATGCAACCAAATGTAATCCAAATGTATATTATGAGTATAAGAAATACAAGTACTGTATCTAATATACTGTAATATACTGTGTGTATATATATATATGTATTATAATATTATCTATAACCATGATGCCCAGGGACCAACTGATGATTACATTTTCTCCCAGGGTCTACCTATTTGTGTTGATCGAATGGCACCAAAAAAACTACCCAGCCAGCGCCAGCGATGTGGCGTGGCCCAGATGTGCCGATCGCCCATCATCTTCTGCAAACATGTTGAGGGACATCCCAGTCAGGCGACGGCCTGGGATGGCTCATTCCAAAATTGGCTGAGCAGCTCTCCAATATTACCATATACCCTCTGGTTATTCAACATAGCCATGGAAAATGGCCCATTTATAGAAGGTTTACCATGGTTTACCTATCAAAAATGGTGATTTTCCATGGCTATGTTGGGAACAGCTTTTCTTCCGACGTCGGCAGATGTACGAAATGGGAGAGCAGATCGGTTCCGGCACCTTCGGAACGGTGTGGAGAGCAAAGCACTCTCAGCCGGGGACTTAGTTCGCTGAGGGAATGCCGAGGAAATTCACAGTTCCAAGTGCCAAGGACTGGCCAACTTCATGCGGTTGGCTGCTCAGACAAGTGAAACATGTCATGAACTATCGGACTTTGTCATGACAGATGTTGTGATGTCATGACAGATGTCTTGAAGCGTGTGATGAACCATTTCCACTAAGATGTCAACGAACTGCCTTCGCCATACCTTGTCTGTTGATACCTTGTGACAGGTAAAGAGCTGCCCCAAAAAGCTCATCCCCAGCGACGAGTTGTGGGTTGGGTACCCTGGTGAGCCCTGGTGGAAGTCAGTTTTGTGTGAAGTTCCGCATTTCTTTTTTTTTGGGAGGCATTCCTGGTTTTCTCTGGCGAGATTGGAGCATCAGACAGTTTCTGACGCCAAACACATGTGGAAGGGGAAGCTGTGCTGAGGTGGGAAATTGCAGGCCTAAGTACCACAGTCTTCGGTCATTTTAGGGTAGTACTGTAGCACGTAGTAGTATAGATTAGCAAGAAAGATCAAGGCATCCAACTGTTGCCGTGTCCAAACCCTTGACTAGCCAAGCTTGAAATTCGTCACAATTGACGACCTTCACATTTTATTGAGGCCGAGATCGAGATCATGAAACAGCTGGATCACGTTGTCTCCTCAAAGATGTGACAGACCAGCGTTTCACAAACGGAAACGAAACACCCCTTGGCTGAAACATATCTGAAACATATCCCCAGGACAACATTTACAAATTTGGATCATTGCCAGCTTCAACTATTATCACTAGTATTAGAAGTGAACTTACAAAAGCACAGACTAATCATAATCAGAGCTGTTACCTTTCCATTTTGGTCGAGTGCACTTAGTGCACTTGCCCAATGACGCCCAGCCTCACATCATGCGGCTGTACTACACCTTTGAGGATGACCTGTCCGGCTTCCAAGACTGAGGGCCTGGCTGATGAAAACAGGTTCCAAGTGGCACATATTTTTCAGGTGGGTCAGGACCCGTCAGAGGGAAGTCCTGGCACACCTGCTTGTTAGACTCACAGCTACTACTAGTTACTAGTAGACAAAAGGAATGATGCAGATGCACAACAGTATCTATACGTATGTATAATTATGTATATAATATATGTAGATATACACATGTAAAAGTTTATGTATAGTATGTCTATTGCAAGTTTTTTTTTAAAAATTGGAATCCCAGTTTGTTTTACAGCTCGCAGTTGATCATTTTGGCACCAGGTGCATCTTCATTGCTTCGGAGCTCTGCGAGGGCGGCGAGCTCTTCAATGCCATGATTGAGGACAGATGACCCGACCTGCCCCCGGGACCCAGCATGGATGCTGGACCCCAACGACCATAAACAAAAATCATATTGTTGCGTATGAAACCACTTATTTTGTGAATGGAATATCATGGGATATGATTGGATTTGAAAGCGACGGCTTCAATTGGGCTTGTATGAAAGTGATGGATTTAGACAACAACATAGGGATCCTACCATAAATAGGGAGTTAATCAATGATGAATATGGGAATATGTCTGAAAACGGAAAAGAGTAGGGATAATCAACCATTGTATGGGGATTGATTATGATTTATTGATATATATATATGTATGTATATATATATATGTACGTATATACAATATAATATAATGATCGGGTGTGTCTAAACATGTCAATTAAAAATGGGCCATTAAAGATACCAGTATCTATGTTGATGAGGGAAATATTGACCGGTTAGTCCATAATAGGGACATGTATTTACCAACGAACCACAAAAGGGTGGACATTTTAAGGATCTGAAAGCATCCATTTTGGGGCCATTTTGCAGAAGGACACTAGCTCGATTATGCAGAGATGATTGAATCTGATTGGAGTTGCTGGAGTTCCCCTATGGATCGGGATTTTGAACGTTTAGAACGATGATTTTTTGGTATCCCATAATCCCGATTTGCAGGCTGGTACCTTCAACGAACACACTGCTGCCTTGCTCTTCAAGCAGATCATGCCCGGGCCCACAGCAGATTCGAGACCTTTGAGTCCTTGAATCGCCAACGTATGGCATGTGAAGTGCAACCTCTAAAAGTTGTTTTCACATACTCTACATACTCTACATGTGTTTCTGCTTTCCTTTTTCGTGCTATCCAATCTATCCAGACTTTTTGGAATCGAGGAAGATTCTGGCACTTTCTCGAAGAAGTTTCTGTCTCTTTCCCTTGTCTCCTTTGGACCCTTGCCTGCGGAGCGCCTAGGAGTGCTGTTTCCTACATCCACATGAACATGATTTGTCATCGAGACTTGAAGCCCGAAAACTTCCTCATCTCCAAGAAATGTGCGATTCAGGTGGGCCCAGCTCTTTTTCGGATGGGGGATGGCTTTGGGAAGGTGAAACATGGTGAAACATGGTGAAAGTGTCTGCCAGATCTGCCAGGATGGGAAGGTGAAACTCATCGACTTTGGAACTGCGAAGCGCTTCGATCTGGGCCCCTTGACCACCAAGGCCTGGTGACTCCGGATCTCTGACTCTGATGACTCGTCGCTCACAGACAGGTTTGCACGGTCCACTACGTGGCACCGGAGGTGTTGAAGAAGAGTGACATACTCAGTCCGTGTTTGTTGAAAGAGCAAGTCTCCAAAGTCTTTGACCTGTCACACAAAAAGTGTTGTTGCTTTCGGGAATTGGATTGAATATAATAATTCGTTTTGATTGTTTTGGAATACTCTTTGTTTGATTGTGATGATAATTTTGTTTGATGCGTTTACCGTGCTAACATCTTTTCTTTGCAAGGCATTTCACTTTGCATCAAACAACCTTGAAATAGATTGAAATGCAATACAGTGACTTTAGCACATTTCGAACATTTTTCAGCATTTTTCAACATATTTCATGAAGGAATTGAGATTTCAAGCAGGGTTGGTTGTTAATTAAAAGTCTCAGGGATGGAGCCTTACACAGAGAAAGTGGACGTGTGGTCTGCTGGCGTCGGGAAACCCAGCTTTCGCCCTCAGCTCATGATTTTTTCTCATGCCTTCTGGACAAGTATGGGATGGTATGGTTCATATGGTTCAAAATTGTCAACCCTCAAAATAGATGGTTTAATCGGTTTAGTACACCACAGATCGCACTTTTAGTGGGCCCATGGGTAGCAAAATTTGACCAAGAAGTGTATGATAGTGTATGCAATTTTAGTGATCACTCCGTTTATGTCGACATTAGCCCCAGGTCGTACTCTTTGTCATGTTGGCTGGTGTTCCACCCTTCCATGACGATGATGACTTGGAACTCATGAAGAGGGTGAAGAAAGGGTTCGGAGCCCAGGGGTCACGACGGTTCCAGATGGTTTGAGACACATTCTTCGGTAATCATTGTTCACTGAGATTCAATGCAGTTACAGGCAAACTAGTAACTAGATAAGACAAGACTATCAGAAAACTTATCCAATTTGGACGGTGTGGATCCTCAATGTCCCAGCACTTTCCAAGAATCCGTGAAATGGGTTCGCGCATATTTTAGATATACCGTTTTGCTCTGCTCTGTTTTGCTTGGGCTGTCACTGGGTTGGCAATGCCATCCCTCTACTGGTTCCTGGGCTGAAACAAACTTCATTAAACCTGCTTATCTTGCTTTTGATGTCTGGGAATATGGAGTCGCCCATGTCAAGTTCATGCCCACTGCAGTTAGCCAGGAAGCATCAAACACCTGGGTAGCAAGGATAGCAAGGTCCCTGTTCAGCGTGTATCCCCACTGGACCGCAGGAAGTGGTCCTTCACGCCAGAAACAGCTTGGAACAAAGTCTCTGCACTGGGCAAAGAGCCTGAGCCCCGGAATGGGTGACATCATGCTTCACAGTGTCATAGTTCGAATGTGGTTTTCAGACGATGCTGGAACCTCAAGAATTCATGAAATCCAGATTTGTTCCCTGCCCCTTTGGTAGAGTTCCATCATTTGATGCTCACATTTTCAACATTTTCAACGGGGTGCCTGGGGAAAAAATGTAAAAAAAGTTGATTCAGTGAAGTTTTCTAAACTAATATCATAGCAGTATAACAAATCAAAATTTATTCATTACAGTCCAAAAAGCCAGTTTATATATTGTTAATGGCTTCATTTTTCTCAACAATATCAAAACATAATTACCTCATTCAATTTTTAAAAATCATAGCAGTCAAAGCATACTTACCTCATTCAATTTTTCAAAATCATAGCAGTCAAAGCATACTTACCTCAGTCAATTTTTCAAAATCATAGCAGTCAAAGCATACTTACCTCATTCATTTTTTCAAATTCATAGCAGTCAAAAGCATTATTACCTTATTCATTTTACAAAATCCTATCCATCAACCGTTCCTAAATTCCTTTTATGCTTCTCTGTTTTTAAATGTCTTGAATGACATTGTGCCTTCATTGATGAATTACATACATTACAAAAGGCAACTTTATCACGATAGTTTTGTATTTGTTCCTGTTTCTTTTTTCTATATTCTTCATCTTCTTTATATTTAGATATATTTAGTTCTTCGTGTTTCATTCACTTTATCTTTATGTTTGTCATAGTTCTTTCTCTTGTATTCCAAGCATGTCTTACAAGTCTTCAATCCATCTTCAAAATTATCAATTGGTAAATCTTTAACACAGTATCTACAAAATTTATCCATTACATATAAATATGATTATCTTCTTAAATGTCTTTTCCAAGAATTCCTATAACAACCAAAAACAAAAACAAACCAAGCGAAGAACAGCATAAAAAAAACAATAGACAACAATAAACATTATTCCCTACCCTTTAACTACCCTATCTTACAAATCCATAATTATAATAAATAAATATTATTAGAAATATGTTAGTAGTAAATATCTTCAATAATTATCAAGTCAAAATGAAATGCTTGTATTCCTATTATACTATCTTTATCTTGGTCTTCTTCTATGTCGATATTTATTTCGTCATCTGCTTTATTCAATACATCTTCTATATTATCTTCATCTACATATTCATCAAAGTCATGCATGAAGTAAATTTCTCTATAACTAAATTCATTGTCTCCATATTCTTTATCTGGGAGTTTTGCTACTATTTGGACTTCAATATCAAGTTTAACTCTAAAATTTTAAATTATCTTCTACTTCTTCATAAATCAAAGATAGTAATTCTTCTTTTTCTTCTGTTATGATGTTTCCTATACTTTTTAAACCAAATGGCACTCCCTCTCTCACAATACAGTATTCAATTACATATATTTTTTTCTTGGTTTCAAATGTCTTGTTATTTTAGGACCAAATCTTGATATTTTATGTTTGTTCCGTATTCTCTTCAATGCTTCACTATGCTTTATTGTCAAATATTTAGGGTCTCCAATTTTTTAAGGAACGATCTTACGCAACGCATCAACAGGCAAACCCTTCATACAATTCGTCTTATAAAAACTTATATAAATAACTTAGTCTTTCAGTATATATTCCAAGATTAAAATGTAGAATTCTTTGAAAAACTACTTAAAGATAAATTAACTAATTAAAATATATACTATTATGATGAAAAAGGTTATAAACTATTTATTGAGTAATGATTTAGCAGAAATACCAAAACGAGGAAGAAGAGAATTAAAGTCAATAATAATAGATGATAAGAAATTCAGATACAACAAAGACAAACCAATATCTAGTGTCTTAACAAAGAAACTACTGACGGTCAAGAAAACTAATGAATACAGAAGTTATGCTTTAAACAAGGCAAAAGATGCGTTCAGTGAAGGAAGAGTGAGACAAATACTAACCAAACACGCAATCAGAAATAAATTTAGGGTCAGAGATATTCAATCAGCATTTAGAAGATACGCTAATTCAATAGTTTTAGAAAATAAACACTTTCAAGGAGAAAGGGGATTAGAAATGATTGCGCACTAAAAACAAAGACTATCATATTTTTTAAGAAATAATAGAAGCATGAAACTTAACATAAGAACGGAAGGATTATTTGAAAAACCTCAATTTGATGATGGAGGAAATGAATTAGGAAGTCAGGAACTTGTATATGCCCTACCATTAACCCGCTTCAATATTAGTAATGAGGATGAACTGACGCAAGCATTACAGAATTTAGAAGCATCAGCATCCAATTTAAGATTTAAGAAGATTTTGACAATAACCATTCACTATGACACATATGACCCAACAAGAGCAAGATGTTTCTTATATACCTTTTCTGATTGAAAGGGATTTAAACAATGGTGGCAGTAAAACTTTTTATTTGTGTTGCTACTGCTTTGACCGTTTAATAATCTACATTTATTTTTAACTAATACGTAGTGATAACTATTATCTTCATCATAGATTTTTAGTAAATCAATTTCGTATTTAGCATTTCCATTTTTAGTGCCTCTATGCAATATAATATCATTATCATTTAAGCAGTCATTGGGTTCAAACACATTTATTGAAACTGATTTATTGTTCTCTTCAAATCTGTCAATGTCCCTATTGCCAGTTGGAAAAAGTACACCATCCCAGTTCAAAATATCATCTTTCAGTTTATTATAGTGGAACATTTCCTCTGGGTGGTGTTTGCTTATTTTGTCATAGACTACGGATTGAATACAATATTTGAAGCATTTTTGGTCTCTGTTCTTTATGTTGATACATGCCTTTTTTAGCTTAATCCATTCAGGTAATTCTATGTAAACTATCGTGATAAAGTTGCCTTTTGCAATGTATGTAATTCATCAATGAAGGCACAATGCTATTCAAGACATTTAAAAACAGAGAAGCATAAAAGGAATTTAGCAACGGTTGATGGATAGGATTTTGTAAAATGAATAAGGTAATAATGCTTTTGACTGCTATGAATTTGAAAAAATGAATGAGGCAAGTATGCTTTGACTGCTATGATTTTGAAAAATTGACTGAGGTAAGTATGCTTTGACTGCTATGATTTTGAAAAATTGAATGAGGTAAGTATGCTTTGACTGCTATGATTTTTAAAATTGAATGAGGTAATTATGTTTTGATATTGTTGAGAAAAATGAAGCTATTAACAATATATAAACTGGCTTTTTGGACTGTTATGTTTTTTTAATGAATAAATTTTGATTTGTTATACTGCTATGATATTAGTTTAGAACACTTCACTGAATCAACGGTTTTTTTTTTACATTGTTTTTTTGGGTTTTTTTTGGGGTGCCCGGGTGTCACCGGGGTGCCCGCCTGTCGAGGCTGGTGAGCCAGATGTTGACCAAAGAGGTGGACCTGCGACCGCATTCCGCCGAGGTCCTTGCCTCGCCTTGGTTCCGGCAGGAGGCGCCCGGGGGTGTGGTTGGCCCAGACCAGAATCGGGTGATGTAAAGTTATACATATGTTTATACAATTATATATATATATATACTAGTATATATATATATGTATAAAGATATCCATATCTTGTCAATGGCAAACTGTCCAGCCTATTCCAACCTTGGGGTGCACAGCGATCGCAGTATCTTGAGTTGATTTTGGGGTTCACTTTATGCACTTTTGGGGTGAAATGATCCCAGAGATCCCCAGATCCATAGCCGGCCATAGCCTGCCGAAGCAGATTTCGAAGGTGATCCCTGCGCACACCAAAGTCGACGTCTGGACCTCGGCGGTCCTGAAAATCTGCCAACCGAGACGGCAGCATGCGGCAGTGCCACGACGTTTTTCAACGTTGCGTGCGGCAGGGCCAAGGAAAAAAAAAGGATTCCAACGAATCATGTTTTTGATGGTTTAAATGGCTTTCAGACAGAAAGAAGAATCCAACTTTCCAATGAGTTTCAGAAACCCATGCAGTCACCTCCAACATCCTTCAACTATATTCCACTTCAGCGACGCTTTCTGAGCTAAGGAACACAACCTAGCACAGATGCGCACCTTTGCAGCTTGGTCGCAGAGCCGGGCACTCCATGGTCTGAAAACAAGAGGTTTGCATTTGGTCGGGATATTCTTGGCCACTATTTTAGTGCCATTATGCGCAAATGACACCACCAATTACTTTAATAAATGACTTATATATATATGAAATCAACATATTGTATGAATCAGCAGCATATTTGATTTTTTTTTCAGATGCAGCAATACAGCGGACATGTTGTATCTCAGTTTTGGCTCAACAACTCTATCAGTTTCCCAGTTTCCGGCTCGATTTTTCGCCCGAGCAGCTCAGGTAGCCCAGAGTCGCTTGAAAAAGGTGGCCTTGCAGGTCATTGCGCGGCAGGCGGGGTTTCCTGCCGTCTGCGGTGATCTCCGGTGGCCAAGAGTTGGACTAACAGGGGTTAGTGCCCATGTTATCCCATTATATATATATATGGATTTATATGGAATATCCAGTGATGATGTTTTACTGTGTTTTATGATGTTCTATGATGTTCTATTATGTTCTATTATGTTCTATATACGTATATATCATATTTATAAAAGACGTTCGATTGTACACCATTGGAATGATTCTCTAAGATACCCATGATAAGGATTCCCATCTTATTAAACATATATTGAAATGTATGGGATACGCTAAAACATAGGATTCCCATCCTATCATATATATATATATATATTAACAAATCTATTAACCCACACATTCCCATCATATTAAGCACTTCAGGGGTGACCATAGCCCCGTTCCTCCCACTGTTTGGGAAGCCCGGCAGATCTCGGACGACACCATCGAGAAGCTGCGACAGATCTTCTTGTCGTTGGACGATGACAACTCGGGGACCCTGTCCGTTGGTGAGCCCAAGTTTTTTGGGGGAAGCTCTGCCCAGTGAGGGAACATACAAATTTATGGGATGTTATCTCGAAAGGTAGCGGTGAGCTACCTGAGTTCCCCCTTGCGTAGCAAGTATTAGGGGGCGAGCGGTGCAAGTGCAAGAGTTTGGGCCGGTTATGTCTCGGTCCGCCTTTCAAGGGGGGGGGGCCCCCCCCCCACCCTTCGATTCCCCCCAGGTCCGCCTCTAAAGCCGGGTTTGCAACATAGGCGGACTACAAGGAAACGCCAACAGCCGCACATGCACTTTCATCCACCACGTTTACATACATCCCCACCCCAACCGAAGTCAAGACCCGCACTGAAACTCGACAATGTCAGATTGCTCAAGAACTTTGTTTCGTTCACCCTAACAACCGCGATGAACAATGTCGTAGCAAGAACGTTGCGACGGACTGCGTTGCAGTAGTCTCAAAAATCGTACATGATATACCAGTAGTGCCGCACAAGGCGGTGGCGGAAGTTTCAAAAATAGGAAACCTATAGGAGAGATTGGTTGTTGTGAATCAGAGATGGCAGAGCGAAGCCACTGCTGGACTGAAAGGCGATTGATCTCTCTCACTCTTGTCTACCTGTCTATCTATCTATCATATCTATCTATCTATCTATATCTATCTATCTATATCTATCTATCTATATCTATCTATCTATATCTATCTATATCTATCTATCTATCTATCTATCTATCCATCTATACATCTATCCATCTATCCATCTATCCATCTATCCATCTATCCATCTATCCATCTATCCATCTATCCATCTATCCATCTATTTCTCCCTCTATCTATCTATCTATCGATCGATCGATCTATCGATCTATCGATCTATCGATCTATCTATCTATCCCTCTATCCCTCTATCCCTCTATCTATCTATCTATCTATCTATCTATCTATCTATCTATCTATCTATCTATCTATCTATCTATCTATCTATCTATCTATCTATCTATCATATCTATCATATCTATCATATCTATCATATCTATCATATCTATCATATCTATATCTATCAATCTATCTATCTATCTATCTATCTATCTATCTATATCATATCTATCATATCTATCATATCTATCATATCTATCATATCTATCATATCTATCATATCTATCATATCTATCATATCTATCATATCTATCTATCTATCTATCTATCTATCTATCAACCTATCAATCTATCATATCTATCATATCTATCATATCTATCATATCTATCATATCTATCATATCTATCATATCTATCATATCTATCATATCTATCATATCTATCCAATCTATCCTATCTATCATATCTATCCTATCTATCTTATCTATCTATCTATCTTATCTATCTATCTATCTATCTATCTATCTATCTTATCTATCTATCTGTCTAGCTGTCTACCTGTCTATCTTTTGTGCAGCGTCATTCAGTGTAATGTAGTGTAGTGTAATGTAGTGTAATGTAGTGGAGTGTAGTTGTAGTTGTAGGTGGTAGTGGAGTGTAGTGTAGAGTAGTGTCGTGAAGTGTAGCGGCAGGTAGTGTAGTGTAGTGTAATGTAGTGTAGTGTAGTGGAGTCTAGTGTAGTGTAATGTAGTGTAGTGTAAGGTAGTGTAGTGTAGTGGAGTGTAGTTGTGTAGTTTTAGTTGTAGTGTTGTGGAGTGTAGTGTAGTGTAAGGTAGTGTAGTGTAGTTTAATGTTGTGTAGTGGAGTGTAGTGGAGTGTAGTTGGGTAGGTGTAGTTGTATTTGTAGTGTAGTGGAGTGTAGTGTAGTGTAATGTAGTGAAGTGTAGTGTAGAGAGTGTAGTGCAGTGTAATTTAGTGGACTGTAGTGGACTGTAGTTGTGTAGTTGTAGTTGTAACCTGTAGTGTTGTGAAGTGTAGTGTAATGTAATGTAGTGTAATGTAGTGTAGTGCAGCAAAGTGTAGTGTCATGTAGTGTAGTCGAGTTAAGCGAAGCAACATCTGAACCGCCAAAAGTGGTCCGAAACCCTAGTGTTTTTAACATGTTAACTTCCAAATCTGCTTCGCGCCACAACGGCGTGCACTTTTTCGAAACTCGACATCTCAGCCTCCAAAAGTGGTCCGAACATGGTGTGGTTTGTACATTTTGACTTCGAAATGTGCTTCGCGCCACAGCGGCGTGCACTTTTTCGAAACTCGACCTCTGAGCCTCCAAAAGTGGTTCGAACCCCTGGTGTTTTGCACATTTTGACTTCGAAATGTGCTTCGTGCCACAACGGCGTGCACTTTTTCGAAACTCGACCTCTGAGCCTCCAAAAGTGGTCCGAACCCCTAGTGTTTTTAACATTTTGACTTGGAAATGTGCTTCGCGCCACAACGGCGTGCACTTTTTCGACATCTTAAGTGCCAAAAGTGGTCCGCACTTGGTGTGTTTTCTACATTTTGACTTGGACATGTGCTTCGCGCCACAACGGTGTGCACTTTTTCGACATCGCAACTTCCAAAAGTGGTCAGACCCTGGTGTGTTTTGTACATTTTGACTTGGGGATGTGCTTCGCGCCACAACGGCGTGCACTTTTTCGACATCTGAAGCGCCAAAAGTGGTCCGATCCTCTGGTGTTTTGTGCATTTTGACTTGGAAATGTGCTTCGCGCCACAACGGCGTGCAATTTTTCATGTCTCATCTCCCCATATGTCTCCGCACCCGCCGCTTTAGCGAGCCTACTTTTCGACCCTCCGGAACCACAAATCATTGGAAAAACACAGTGAATCGCGACTTTCCTACCTTTTCGCGCATCTGCATCTTCTTTCTTCTGACTCTTTCTCTTCTGAACTTTCTCTTCTCTCTGCCTCTGCCCTGCTCTGCTTTTCATCTGTCCATATTGTCGGAAGTTTAGCTTCTCAACTTCCTTCGACAATATAGTTAAAGATATGTATCTATATATATATATATATATACACATAATAATTCCATGATATATATATATACTAAATAATCTCAATATACATATAGATTCGTATATATATATATGCATACTCTACCCAGCAATTGTGGGATATTGCGCTTTGGCTAGTGGTTGCCGAAGCATAATCGCTGCCCCTTGCTCAGCATATCTAGATCATTTGGTGGATTTTCCGCAAGGGTTCCTCCAAGATATTCTCTTCAACCAAAAGACTTCGCTAATGACATTTCAATATGTTTCATATATATGTATATTCGTATATATATAGTTATCATGTATAATAACTAGAACACCTATAATGACTAGAATTACTATAATAACTAGAACATAATTATCACAACTATATTGAACCCCCCCCTTCGATTCCCCCAAGGTCCGCCTCTAAAGCCGCGTTTGCAAGAAGTCACCCCGCGGGCCCACTTTTTGCACCAAGATTCCAGCACCAGGATAGCCCTAAGTCAGTTGCTTTGGGTACATGCTGGGGTCAAAACACCACGTTTGTGAATCCCACACTGTTCTACACATGTACACACCAGAATCAACCCCATCCGCGTTGCAACAATGTGCTGCCCCCAGTTACACGTTGCCTCGCAAACCCCATAACCTGATATTTATACATATATCTAACTATATGTATGTATTTATATATATATATATGTCTGTGTGTCTGTGTGTGTGTCGTGTCCCCCCTCCCTGAAACCTACCTTTTTGGTACCCGCCCTCGAGTCCAAACCCAGAAGACTTTTTTCGATATCCGCCCCAACTCCACCCACGTCCGTCCGCAGCGGATATGCCTCGTTCCCTTGCTCTCTTCTCCTGTTCCAACCCACGCCTACCTTTCGATCTTTCACCCTTCCCTCTCAAGTGGGATGTTGTTGGTGAAGCCACAAAGATGTAGGTCATTGAAGAAACCTCAGAGTTGGGTGAAAAACATGGATTTTATGGATTTTCCCATGGATCTTTTACCATGGATTTTTTTCCGATTTTCCAACAGCCAAATGTGGATGGTTTCCACACGACTCCTCTAGGTGGAAGAGATCGACGAGGCCTTGGAGCGGCTGGAAGTAGAGGAACCCATTCGGGTGGAGATGCGGCCAGGGCCCCTGAAGTTCCCTGAAGCTGTGACATCGACATCGAAACCGTTTGAGTTGATTTTCAGATATTTTATCTGGTTGGTGGTTTGGAACATTTTTTTCTCCATATAATATATTGGGAAGGTCATCATCCCAACTGACTTTCATACTTTTCAAAGGGGTAGGTATACCACCAACCAGTTATGATATTTTGAGATACTTGGACTTACACCAGCATTGATGTGTGCAAATAGATACCCGTTTCCTCGGGCGCTCAGGCGATTGATGCACGAGATTGATGTGGATGGCAGTGGGACCGTAAATTATACAGAGCTCCAGTCTTAGCTTGGCACAAAGGGTCAGGTGATCATTTCGTTAGGTTTGACATGATATGACATGATATGACATGATGATGATGGGGTTGTGCTTCACATTTTTGACACAGCGGCAGATGGTTTTACTTCACGTGAGGTTTATTGCAGCCAATATCTCGAAGAAACAGTACCTCCAGGAGCAGGTGTGCTCGCTCCTCAGTTCTGAATTGTTTATGCACTGCAACTGGTGGATCCGATCCGATCTGCAAAATTTGGTCCGCAGCACCTTTTTGGGCCGAAAAGGATCAGTGCCCGAAGCGCGAGCGCGAAACTGTGCCATGAAAGTCTTGGTGAGTTCCATGTCATGGTCTGGAGAAGTGGAATTGGAGGACCTTCACCAAAAAGTCATGCTCATTTCGTCGTAGAAGGCTGCTACGTGCAAAAACTGACCTTTGAGACTGTACCTTGAGATGCCTTTTTTTGACAGAAAAGTGCTATCGTCAGGGTCCATTATGAAGTACGTCGCCAGTTTTATCGATTTTATAGTGATTTTCCCTGGTTTGTTAGATGTTCGTCCGTTCCACGTGGCTGGACTGGGTTAGGAGGATTCGAAGCTGGAAATGGTGAAAGGGAAGTTGTCCGACCTCTTAGGGTGTCCTGCCGTTCAGCTGACTCTGTTGATAGGCGGGGTGTCCAACTTTGGGACTGTGCATATATTTGTGTGCAGACATGTGCAGACAACATCCCACTGCACTTACATTTGTATACATTTGTCAGGTCAGCAAACAGTAAAGATAACTTAGGCTACACAGGTGTGACAGGACTAGTCACGCACACAAAAAGTGGACAGTTGCATGATGCTTCGTCCAAAGTCGTGTTCTGGAAACGAAATGGTTTTGCTTCCCTTCACGCCGCCTTTTTTATACACCAAAAACATGCATCCATCCCCGGCTTGTTAGAGATTCTCAGAGAAAATTGACAACTCTTTGGAGGTTTCTGGTCCCAACTCTGACCCACCAGATGTTCCATGGCAGGTACTACCCCCTGGTCCGATGACAAGCTGCTGCGGGAAGTCTTCAGTGGCTCTGATGGTCAGATGCCGACCCTCTCTGTGATCAAGTCAGAAGGCTGGGTGCCCTTACGAATGCAGGCCTTAAAGGCAAAGGTGGCAACTTGGATGCAGAAACAAATGGAGGAATACGGGGGTTTGGAGTTAATGGTGTTGTTGCTAGAAAGCTACAGATTGAATCTGTATTGGCTATGATTGGCTTGTACTGGTTTTTGTCTGAATTTCGAGACCTATAGGATTCAAAGCTTTGCATAGCTTTGCTGCCAGCCCACAACTCCTCAAAGTTGAAACTATTTATTGTTTAGAAGCAGGAAGCGAATAATCGACTACATAGCATGAACATCAGTAAAATTCATTCGAACCGTGAATTTCATTACAGAGATATCATGAGTATCATGAGATATCCATGGTTTTTCTATGTTTTTCTTTGCACATCATCGCTCTCTCAGGAGAAGCGTGGCAAGGTCCAAAGCGACCCGGCAGAAGGTGGGCTCTCCGCTGATGCCGCGCTGCCGGAGGGGCTGGAATTCCCCAGTGCCTTGCGGTTGCTGCTGCAGCACGGGGCGAAATGGACCTTTGGGGCGGAAGGGATTCCACCCCTTTGTCTATACGCAGCCACCAGGGAGGTGGGCAATGACATCTTTGGAGATGAGGAGAGCCTCATGGTGGTGAACTCATGCACAATTTCATACAATTTTGCTGTCAGTGCAACTGTCAGTCTGCCAGTCACTCCTTGTGAAACGGGCGCCTGCCTGAGGAGTGCAAAGCGGATTGGATGGAGGAACATGGGGAAGATAGCTGTGCTGGCGATGACTGGATTTGCATTGGGGAGTCCTCAGAGTTCGCTACTTGCTTGTGCAAGCAAAGGTATTCTTTGTCGCTCTAAAGTGTTGGTTTATACTTATTTCTTATTTAATGTATTTCTGTATTTCATGAAAGTTGGAGATAGTTCCTTTATGTTCCTTTGTTTTCAGCTTCTAGTTTCGGAGCTGTGATGTGATAGTTTATGCAGACATATCAATGACAAGCCACCCTGCAAGTATTCTTAACTTGTTAACGAGTCCAGTGCAAATTATCCTTGTACTAGTAGATGTTTGTAGGACTTGAGGTCTGCCCAAATAGGTGCATCGCAAATATTCCTGATCATCGAGTTTGGAGTCAGTCTTCCTGTTTGGTAATCAGAAGAAATTGACAAGGATGACCGGTTGAGTGCGTTTGAGTGTCTTTGTGCAGATAGATGTACCATGATGTACCCTCCAGCAAAGCGACGACCACTTCCTCACCATATCCTCATTGTTTTTGGCATATTGAACCATATGGGTCACGTAATGGTCACATGAATTTCGGACGATTTACGTTTGTGATATGATAGGGAAAAAGGGGAACACACTATAGATACTTATGGAATCTTATAGGTGCCTGTAGTTACATGTATTTTAGGGACTTCCAACTATTGCACAAGCCCACATGGATTCTTGTGAAGCCCAGGATTACTTCTTTGTCAATCTGCGGAAAACTTCACCAAACTTTGGTATGGTGAAGCACATCGTGAACAACTGTGATGAGGACCCCGACGTGACTTAGATTTCAGGCAAGCTTTGTTTCGTTTCACCGTTTCACCGTTTCACCACAGGACTTCTGGTCCTTTCTTTTGGTGAAACCAATCATGGGGCGTAGCCGCGGCTACGCCAAAGACGTTTCCCGGGGCAGTTGCTGGTTCCTCAGGAGACGGGATTCTCAGAGGCGCCCTTTGATCGCTTCTTGGACATTGTGGAGAGCTTTGCAGAGCACCAGGCGGAGATGATGAATTCATGCAATATATATACTGCACATATCATAATAGTTGATTAATAATAACAATAATAATAACAATAATAATAATGATAATAATAATAATATTATATATATAATATGTATGGATAATTATGGAGAAAAACACAGTAGATGATGGGCGTAGATAATGGTAGATGATGATAAATGACAATAAATGATACATGACGATACATGGGATATGCTGAAGGGATTTCTTGGGTTCATCACCATTGATTTGCTATTATTTTGACATGCTGGTTGCTGCAGCACCCACTGAGTTTCTCTTGCTCCGTGGACATAAATGGGACCTATAAAAAAATGACTGGAGTCCGACTCGAGAAATCAGTTGCTCCAGGCCGTGGATGAGGATGATTGTGAACCATTGCACTCCTTTCAGTTCAGAGCTCTCCAGGCCAAGAAGAAAAAAAAGACTTGATGTGGCAAGTGTGGCTCGGGCGCAACCTCACATTGATTAGACATGAATTGACAGCCTCAACGGCGCGAGGACAAAATGGTGCTGGCCTTCGGGAGCGCAATTTTTACCAACAAGAAGGATCCTGAAAATACATGAAAATACAAATTCCGTTTATTTTTTGGAATGATGCACGGGCTGTGCACTTGCAACAAAAAGTTGAACAAGGCTGCAATTCAGATTTAAGAAACTAAATCAACATGAGCCAACCCTGGATGGTCCGGCTTAGAAAAGAAAAAACACTGCCAGCACATGTTATTCTCATGATGATGCTTAGATCCTCGGTGGATGTGCGGATATCAGAGGGTCTGTCGCCCAACGACATTGCAGAGAGTTGGTCAGGGGCATGATTTTGCTGTATAACAAGGGATGCCTGATTGCCGTATATTACCGTAGATGAGATGTAGCATAGACTTCCGTGGTTGAAGTCTAGGAACCTCATGTTGGTATTTTGTTTCTACGGCTTACCCCCAAAAAACACAATAGGGGACGCCATCAAGACGATTGTTGTGTGATCCGACCATCTAGGTGTGGGGAGGAACCAGACGATCACTAACATTGAAATAGGCGGACTTTGGACCGGTATCTTACTGTACTATACTGTACCATTCAATCAGCTCTATTTACAACATACAACAAATGCACGGATGATCTAAACTTCAGGACTGGCAGAAGTTTGGACAAAGTTTCGAGATTAATTAAAGACAACGCACACAAAACCCGAAAGGTTCAGCTGTCACAAAAGTTACTTTCAACATCTTTCAACAGCGAATAACAGGTGTTCACACATCCATTATATATCATTATATAGGTATGGATCAATACCTATACATACCATTTTTAGGGGGATGAACATCCATTTACCAGCTATTTTGATGTTCACCAGGGGGATAGGGTTTTGACCCATCCCCATATATCATTTATATAATATCCATGAACTCTAGGTGTTTCCATGCTGCGTGTCTCCTCATTTGGAGCCTGCCATGCTGCGAATCCAGTCGGCGTTCTCCGGCGCTGACGTGGCCTGCATCGCGGCGGAGGAGTTCCGGGACCTGGTCGGCGTCGACACGGGGACGGAGTCGTTGCCCCTTAAAGGCTGCCGGATCCGACGACTCAAGCAGCATCTGCAGAGACATGTGGGAAAAGGTCGATTTCAACAGCAGCTCTTGTTGCAGGGTGAGATCTTGAAAGATGATGAGGAAGTGCAGCCGCCAGTGACTTTACAGCTGGCCCTGTTGCCGCTCTCTGAAGGGAAAGAGTTGTTGGAAGCTGCAAGACGAGAGGCGACTGTGTTTGTGCATGTTTGTGTTAACATTGGAAATCTCCCAAGCTCGTCAGATTCATCTTTCGACATTTTTGTTGATGCCTTTCTGAATAGACTATAGCCATGGAGAGTGTTTCAATGTGGCAAGGGGATGCAAGGGGAAGGTATCAAAGAATGTGCCAGTGCAGTTGGAAGCGTTTATGAAATGCCACGGCCACATCGCCTGATTCACTCTTCAAACGGTTTGATCATTTCGCCAGGACATCGAGTTGCTGGAGACCTTGCTCTTGCAACCGCAAGATCCAAATGCAGTGGGTGAAGCTTTGATGCAAAGTTGTGACTCTTTGGGTGCTGAGGTGCTGTAAAATGAATTGGACTCGGAGTGATATTGGGTTGGGCCTTTGATTTTGCATTAGTTTACAGGACACACCTAAAATATCCTACAATGAGTGGTAAAAAGTAAAACCATGATTCCCTGCAGAGTCTGCAGATTTTCCCTTAAACCAATCCATTGAATTCAAGTTTAGGGTCTTGCTCGCTATTGCGACACCATCCCCGTCACTGAGGACGCTGGAGAAACGGCGCTGCATTGGGTTGTGGAGCGGGGTGCCGCAAAGTGTTGCGGCTTGCTGATCGAAGCCGGAAGTCTCGTGGACCAGCTGAGTCTACCCCGATTTTTTGGTGGGGTAGCTCCTCTACACATGGCTTGCAACTTGTCCATAACACATCATAACACCAGACTTTGTGACTTTGTCCTCAACACTTACAACTTATATACCAGATATACCAGGTATACACCAGACTTTGCTGAACTTTTTCATGACCTTTTCCCTTCAAACCAATGAGAACTGCGGGTTGGCCCATTCTCGACCACCAAATCCTGAGGCCAACGCGGACACCTGGAAATCCTGCGAATGCTCCTGGCAGCCAGAGCAGACCCAGACCAGGCATCATGTGATGGTGGCAGGCCGCAACTGAGTCAGCAATCAGTACTGTTTCTATGAAGTGACCACTGTGAAGCATTAGGCTCTCCCAGCTGATTCTTCAAGGGTCCCTATATTTTCCCGTGTTTTTGGGTGTCAAACATCATTTCTTGGCGTTGAAGACTGGTTGTATGGTATTAGCCCTTCAAACGTGTATGCTTGGAGAGGAAGTGACGGAAAATCTCAGGTTGAGCATCGCCTCAAGCCGCGGTCACTTGGAGGTGGTTCGATTGCTGCTGGATGCAGGTGCGAAACTGGAGCATTCGGGCTCTCATAGCAGTGGACATCCACTGCTGCTGGCGGCACAGCGAGGAAATTTGGAAGTCCTGAGAATGTTGATAGCAGCAGGACCTTGTTGAGTGGATGTCCGCCTTACATGGTCTTACCACGTAGATCCTTCGTATCCTCAGGTCACCAATTCCTACCCACATATCTCACCTATCCTCAGGTCAAAATGGGCCAGGGAAAATTCGTCTATATCGATAGTATTCCAACATTCAGCTGACAAACTGCAACACATCCTGGGGGTTCCATGATCACAGGAGCTGACGTCAACAGGGCAACGAACTTGGGCTACACTCCGTTGCTGGTGGCGACTCAACGAGGTCGGGAGCTGCACTTTTGTTGCAACTGTGGTGAGTGACACTTTGCACCATAAATATCCATAAAATATCCATAAAATATCCATAAATGATCATGGAACACCATGGAATACCATGACACTTTGTGCATCTCTGTGCCCAAAGTTGTTGAGCATCACTTAGAAATCCACTTGTGTCAGATTGTTCTCACCCTGCAGGCCACTGCGAAGCGGTGCGTGTGCTGATCGAAGCAGCAGCCGATGTGAATCGCCGCACCCTGGCGGGCTCCTCTCCTCTGTACCAGGCCTGTCGCGATGGCACTCGGCACATCGCCCAGCTGTTGCTGACAGCGAAGGCGAGCATCCACAACACTTGGGACACCAGTCCCTTCATCGCTGCCTGTGTTGAAGGTCACCTGGACCTGGTGAAGCTCCTGCTGCGGCACTGCGACCAAGGCCACGATGGGCAGCTGGGTGCCCTGGCTCCTGCGGTGGCGACCCTGGAGGACCCTCAGCTGGTGGAGCAGGTGCTGCGGATGATGCGGAAGCGCAGGGAAGCGGATGACGAGGAGCTGGTGACTAGAGCCACTACAAGACTAAAATGTAGTTTCAGAAGGACTGGATGAAGACCCACTGAAGGCTGAAACGGATTCAAAGTGGATTCAAAAGTAGATCCAAACAGATTAAAAAGGAGAGTTAGACTTTGCTGGAAGGAATCAGTACTTTTGTGCTGATCAGAGGGAGTCGGAGCAGTGCTCTATGTCGGCGTTTGTAGATGGAGCAGCACCAGCGACACCAGAAACGTTTTGAAGCTGAGGGTCCTCTTGCAGAGGCGACAGTTGCATGAAACACAGATGATCAAATTGCCAAAGGCGCACAATGTAAAGCTGTCAGCAATGAAGAGCGATTCAGGATGGCCAATGGCTTGCCGTGCTTCTTGGACCTTAAATGGAATCTGATCTGGTTGGCGTATGTCGGCGTGACGAAAAGGATCGCGATCATTTAAGTTGCACATCGTCAAATGATCATGGACGGTGGAGGATGTGGTCCTCCCGTGAAGATATATACCACATTTTACTACGGCGGTTAGTTCTGATTCAATGACATTGAATTGCTGGCATTATATCTGCTGAGTCCTTGTCTGGCTGCACTTAGTGGAGGAAAGAGGTGGAAAGAGGGACAGACGTGGTTCAACTGAGGCAAAGCCGCATTTCACATCTTCGATGTGAATGGTCAGATGCCAAGAGACCTGACGGCTTTAGCCGCCAACAACTTCAACCATATCTAAAATCTGGATTCCAACATATTCCAACTTTCATATCTAAACAGGTCTGCACTTCACGCTGAGCATTTCACCAGGTCCAAAGTGCATGTAGAATCGCTGTGCATCCAAGGGGATGGATTCATTTGCAAAGACGACCTGGTGCCAGCTGGGTTGAACATGTTGAAAGATGGGATGGGAGTAGCAACAAAGGATCACAACAACAATCAGCTGTTGCTGGACTATGCTGGACTCAGGGAAGTTTCTTCTTGGTGATACACATTGACAAATCATGACAAATCATTGACAACATTTCGAGGATTGAATCTTTGTGGCATGTTGCTTCGAAACTGTAGCGTGACATCCGTGACATCATCTTGGAATTGAGACACAGTGAAAACAGGCGAGGTGAAAACCATCCTTAAAGAATCGATTCCCCATTTCCAGTGGGGTTCCCAATTGAGAAAAACAAACATCATCTGAATCAAATCCAGATATTCACTATGAATCACTATGAATCACAATCAATCACTATTAATCACTATTGATGACTGATCATCCCCTAGCTGTTGTTGATCCCCAAATCATATCCCCACAATATCTGATGGATAGGTAAACCACAAGGTTGAGCATTGTTATCATCATTTGGTTTATAAAGTTATTAAATAGCCAAGTTGACCAAGCCATTATGATCCCCCAGAAACCCAAAAGGTTGAGATTACTATTTTATAGCAATTATAAACCACAAGGTTGATCATATATCCCACCATTGCGTCAACCAAACTATTTGCATCAACTTAGCTATCAGTTTTATCTGTTTTATCGTCCCATTGAATCCCCATGGAATTTATTGGTTAAATCTCATAAGCATGTTCCTTTCCTCGGTGCTCACTCGTAAACACTATGAAAATCATTGTTAATGGCAATGGGATCTAAAAACACAGTGCAACACGTTGCACCAGACCAGTTCAACACATTCTAAGCATTCCTGAATACAATGTGACTTTCGATGACTTTTGCCAGTCAGTGTCTCGGTTAAGTGGTAGCATCAGCTTACCTTCGAAGTGGTTAATGAATGTTGATGATGGTTAATGCGGCCAGGCTACTCTGTTGAAGAGTGGTCATGAACAGGACGGATTCGCAGGTTGGAATGCTCTGTACGATTCCGTCTAAAGGTGGTTACATCCCCACGAAATGGGAGAACAGTGACGCCACATTGACTAACATCAATGATAGTATAATAACATATGAGCAACCGTAAAAACCCCGGCAATACTAAATATGTATTCGACGGACATTGGTTTATGGAAATTGATGGAAATTGTTCAAAACACGAGGTAAGCGATGGGACCTTCCCAAATTAGCGATACCCCTTTCCAAGGTTATGTCATCATATTTCTCTAATATCCACATTAGCGATACCCAAATATCACATATTATTCATAGTTCATCACATATATATATATATAAATGCAGCAGTTTCCTGCAAGCGATACCCCCCAAGTTTACCATATATCATTATTGTACAAACGTGTGGTAAGCGATGGGACCTTCCCAAATTTGTGGATGTCCTTTCCGTGAACCTAGGGTTTTCACAATCGCTCATATAATAACCATACACAGTCACACGCACACATCTTCTTTGAATATTTTCAAGCTGATCTAATTCGTGGGTACGTGGCTTAAACCGCAAGCAACAGACAGATGGCATTTTTCAATCACCTTCGGATTGTTGGTGCGGTGATGAGCGGTGATATTTTTCGAGGCATCAGTGTGGAAGAGATCGGCGAGATCATGAAGGAGGTGTCGTTGATCGATCGGATTACCTCAAAATGTTGGGAGAACTAGAAATCACAAGGGAGATCAACAGATGATCAACAGATGATCAACAGATGATCAACAGATGATCAACAGATGATCATCGAATTTTGGGGGTAGCCTATTCTCAAACAAAGCCATAAAGGTTTGGTAAAGTTTGGTACCTGAATGTACCTGAAGATATTGCTGAAACCCAAATTGCTGATTCCACTGGGTTTGAGAAGCTCATGTTCCCCATCGAAATGGCTATAAGTCTAACCCAGAAAATGGTAATTTCTGCATTTTCCAAGAGATGCATATCAAGAGGAAGAAAGACGGGATGTAAGCGACATATGGAGATCTTGATGGCATTTCATGGCTTATTTTTTTTTGGAGAACAGGATAGAATGGGGTGCTTGGTGAGTGTCGTTTCACCATGTTTCACCCTGGTGGCCTCCCTGGTGGCCTCCCCAAAAATGTTGCCACCATAGACCCATAGCATGAATCAAGGGGATACACGATAATATTGATGGGTCTTAGCCACAAGGAAATGATTGATTTTTTTCATCAAGCGGCAGTGGTTTCAGATATTTGGATTTGAATGTTCCTAATATGTTCCATTCCAAAGTGTGAGGATACCACTTTGATATAATGTCAACCCTGGATTAATAAACCATAATAAACCCCTAGGCTGTTTAATTGGGGGGGATACGATTTATACCATTTATATTTATGTATCATATTGTGACTATTTGGATGGTACCCCCACAATTAATAAACCATGGTTTTTTATGGGTCGAATGGTTGAACCCCCGCCTCCAACGTGGCCTTGATCCACCGTTGAGTCCGTTCGGCAGGTGGACCAAAACGGTGATGGCAACATGTCCTTCGAGGAGTGCCGCGCTCAGTTGCCGGGTGAGGTCCCAGTCCCAGCTGTATCCAGCTGTGACTGGTAAGTCTGCTTGTGAAAAACTACTACAGTAATATAGTATTTTTATATAGAATATAAGATAATATAAGTAGATATATGTATACACAATATTATACAATCTCAGTCCCAAACTGGAAATGCAATTGCATGAAACCTTGGAACATTCACACCTAAGACTGTGGTCTTTTTTTTAGGCATTTGGGTATTTGTTAATCCCGGCGCGCTGGAGGTTTATGGCGTTGATGGCAGACCGCAAAGAAGCTCCAAAGGAGTTGGTCCAACAAAGTTCGGTGTTGGGCCTGTGGTGCTAAGTCAGATGAGTCATATTTGATCAGAAGGTGTGTAATGATATTTCAACTATTTATCCCTAATTGATATTATATATGTATATATCAATATATATATATACATATTACATATATTATGTATATATATAAATATAATAATAATAATGATAATGATAATAATAATAGTAATAATTAATAATAATAATAGTAATAGTAATAATAATAACAATAATAATGATAATAATAATAATTGTTAATTAATAATTAATAGTAATAACACATATGATATGTGTAATATTTGATGCAGAGGGTTTTGCACCACTCCCCCCTTAAGATTTCCGCAACACTCCCGAAAGGGCCTGTGGTACTTTGGGCATGAGGAGCAGGAAGCTGCTGCAGGGAGTTGAAGGCCTGGCTAGCGAATCTGGCACTGCCGCTTGGTTATTTTCCCTAGTGACATCAGTATGAAGAGTGGACCGCAAATGGGAGTCCGAGAATTTCTCTAATCCGGAAAGGATATTGTTAGTTTAAACTTTGAACCTTACATGGCCTTACTATAAATACGTATATATATAATTATATATATATACATACATATCTTATATATTAACTACATTTAACTACAGGCTTGTAATATTAAACTTGGTTCCTCCAGCGGGTTCTGCCTCCAAGTGATGTGGTGCCTCTTGGTGGACTGCCTGACAGATGTGATTTCAAACTCTGTGCCACCTCCACTAGCAGATGTATAATATATACCACTATATATATATGATATATATATAGATAGATAGATAGATAGATAGATAGATAGATAGATAGATTGATAGATAGATAGATAGATAGATAGATGAATGGATGGGATGGATGGATGGATAGATAGATAGATAGGTAGATAGATAGATAGATAGATAGATAGATAATGATATGAATTAAGACAGAGTCACACATAGTTGTTACATAGATATTTCCGTGTTAGATGTCAGTCCCATCTCTTTCTCTGCTTCGAAGCCCGAATCAGTGCTTCCTTTTTGTAAAGAAAAGGTGGCCTCGCTTCCCCCGCTCTGAGCACCTGCTGGCATCGCGAAGTGCGCCAGGATCCACAGGGTATCTAGAGACCTCTATGCATATCTCAACATACGACATATTCTATACATACTACTTACATGTATGTCAATGTGTTATTTTGAACGCATGTACATATTACGTAATACTTGAACATATGTATTCATGATGCCACGATATATCCACATGCATAAGTACCAATATAGATGCATAGACACATACTATCATATAGTTTCATGTCGCACATGTATCACTACATTAGCTAACATAACATAGCATAACAGTTAGGCATCACATAACATAACACAACATAACATAACAATACATAACATGCATGCATGGATGCATAATGATGCATACATACGCGCACACACACACACACGCAGGCAGACAGAGGGACGGACGGACAGACTTACACACATACAGGTTACATACAGGTTCACGGATACCACATTGGTGCATGCATGTAGATAGATAGAGATGTAGCAAGCTGTTGTGAAGAGGAGAGAGAGAGAGAGAGATTCACCCCAATCAAAGCACACATGGAGGTCTCACATTTATGGTTTGGAAGATCACTTCAGGATTGGACATAGCCCCGCAGATGCAAAATCAAGAGAACCATTTTGATGTTGAGAGATTCTAAACACTGAGAAGTACAGTAAATAGAATTTGCTTTATGCCGCAATCAACGAACCACTGGCAATTCCTTTTTGGGAGGAATGTCCTATATCGGGTGAAGAACTCTGTGCAGTAATTCACAACACGCGTAACTGTGAGTAATTCACAACCATAGGAAACCGATGGAAACCGGCTACTTTTCAACAATCTCTCTGTTTGAGCATTTCACTGAACATTTCACTCTTTCTGGCAACACTTTTTCTGGCAACTATAGACTACATTGGTTCAAGGATATAACTTTTGGATATGTTCGACACAATTGTATGCAATTGTGATATATTGCACAATATATTGTGATTCTTGGTCATTTTGCATCCCCTTGGACTTTCCCTTGGCTGCCTCGCTGCGCCGGCACTTTATTATCGCATCCCTGGGACTCTGCCCTCCCTGAGGGAGGGGCTGCCGGGTCCCAGCGGGTTCGAGGCCGTCGTGTTCTCCACCGGAGACTCTTTAGTGGCTATGTGATGTCGACGTTGGAACTTGAGAGATCCAACATTTAAGCACATTCCAAGAGGGGTTTCATGTCCTGGAATCTATGAAGATGGGTCCGATGCCTCTACTGGATGCTGAAATATCAAGTCCAGTTTCTTTTGCTTTTCCAGCCCCAAAATGCGGAATAATATCATATAATATCAGTGTCACAAGAATCTGATGACTGGGTCCCCATCCATTGAACATTCACCATTGAACATTCACCATTGACAAATGTGAGCCATCCCCTAGGCATAAGTATTCTCTTGGCCGTATACATCACAAACACCGCCTCGCATCAAAGGGAGACACGTTTGGCCACCTGCTGCCGAACATGGCTCCATTTTCCAACTTGGACCCATCGAGGGCAAGTTTGTTGGGGCAAGCTTTCCGACCTCAGGGCCTCAGGGCTAAAATGTGATAAGATAACTATCAGATAGTTCAAGACCTGCTGTGAGGGCATTGAAATGTAAGTATCACCATACCAACCCCTAGCGGGAGGGGACACCTGCTTGGTGCTATAGGTCTGAGCCTTCAGAGTTCAGATAGTTGTAGATGTGCATTGACTAATCAGATATGATCAGAGAGCGCAAGCTGAGTTGCCCTGTCGCTATGCTGCACGGTTATGCTGAACCCCGAAGTTCCTGGCTTGATGATAATGTACAATGTGTACCTCCAGCCAAAGCCCATCCAAAGCCCTTGCAATCCTTTGGTTTCAATAGCCCATGTCAGTGGCTTTGCCCAGGTCTTAGCAGTTGCAGAAATGCACTGCAGAAATGTCACATTATGAAATCATCGAAATTGACCCAGCTTTCAAACAGCGCTGGCCCAGCTTGCGCGTCTCTCTCAGGCTCTGGATTTGATGAAAGCTTTTTTGTATCCATCCGTGATCCATTTCTCTTCCCACCCATTCGTAGTTTGAGAGCAGCAATGCTTTGCTGTACTTGAAAACTGCACCGGAATGGACGGCAGAATCTTGGCTCATGGTTTGGACGCCAGCTGATTGCACCATGAATAACTAAACTCCAGGTGCATTTGATTAAGGGTGACATCCAGGTACATGAAACGTTGAGCCAGGCACCTGCTACGGGTAGACTCACAGACCATGCCTCTCGATTTTTGAGCAACCACGAGGGCTGTGCAGAAATTAAAGAGAAACATAAGGTACCTACAAAAAAGTCGGTTGGTGTATGTTGGTGTAAACTTTCTGGATGTTTCTGGATGTCAAATCAAATCAGACCGGGTGATGGGATGGCTTTGATTGACGATCCTTTCTATCAAACCATATTGTCCTTAGTCAAACGAGAATTTTCGTGATCATTTCATGCTGGTAGCTGAGCATCATGTAGAGCACACGAAGGCGCGCACACAAACTCTTGATGTTGCTTGAAGCGCCCAATGTCACATGATGTTGTGTCAAGTTTCCGCTCAGAATCTTAGCAAAAACGACATGTCGATTTAGCAGGTGGCAGCATGGACTCAGCGAATGTGCTCGGCAATTTTCTGAAGGCAGGAACACGGTCACGGTGCAACAAAAGCAAATGAATGACAGCATGTGGAACAAACGTACTTTCCCACTCGCGGAGTTGTGATCAATATTCGCTTCAGTGTGAAGACATATCATATTGTCATATCATAGTCATATCATAGTCATATAATCATATAGTATCATAACATGTTTTGATTTATGAGAGAAACATGTTGACTGGCAATAATAACATGCCATAGCCATCCATGGTGCCATACCTTTCTGGGCCGCTGTACCCTAGAGGCTGCCCGGCCAGAATGGACTGCCACGCAGCTGGCTGCAGTGGAAGAGAAATTGGAAAAGGTTTGGAGCCCCCAAGGGTGCTGCTTTTCCATGGCTTTTCCAATGTTATTTGCTTTGGATATGTTTAGATATGTTTAGATCATTAGAACTTGTGACTTTTTAAATGTGTAAGATTCGGAGAACATATTTCGGTGCCCAAAATTCGATGGACGATACGATACGTGTTCCAAAAACACCTTTCTGCGTTCGCAGCCACCGAACCTTTTTTTGGTGGAGGTTGGCATCCGAGACGTGTTGGAGCTCATCCAGTCCCTTCGAGGCCTTTTTTTTTGCCTTTCATGAGCAAAAAAGGGCGCTGAAAAAAGGGGCCTTTTTTATAACAGGGCTGTCATAACAAGCCCCAAAGCACCAAGCTGTGCAAGGCAGTGCAAGGTTGCATACGGATTTTGCGGAAACATCGTGTAGGCTTTGTGCTTTGAGCAGCTCAATTGGCCCAATGAGTAGACGTTATCGCAAGGCAGATCGGAGCAGAGACTCAACAACCGGCTGAAGGCGACACAGTGGTGTGGTGGATGTAGAGGTCTCCAGCGACCAAATTGTGGGGCAAAATATACATACTCAGTAAGGTAGAGACATAATAGACATAATATGGCCTTTGGAATGCCCAACGGAGAATTTCAACTTGTTCGAGCGGCGGAAGCATGGAAACAGTTTGCAAGGACACGTCTGAGGACACTTCTGCTAGCCAAAGGTTGCGGCCCCAAACCAGATCCATACCATTTTCAAACAAACTTGAAAGGTTCTGATATAAACATACAAAATCAACAACTATCATAGATCATAATAGTATATACCGTGAAATACCCACACACATCAAAGACACATGTATTAGACATGTATAACTTATTTGATATAGTAATGTTATTTTGATGTCAGAACTCAACTCAGTAACTCGCACTCATGGAGGCCGTGGGAGAGAAATGCTTCACCTCTGAAACCCTGACAGCACTCCGGCGCCGTGTATGGAAACTCAGCCGGGGCAGTTCTCGAGCAACCAACATTTCGGATTTTTAAATATCTTCACCAAAAGTTCGGATGTTGAAACCACCATGCCAACCAAGACTTGGGGTCGATATTTTGAAGATGTTTGATGATCATTTATGTTTATAGTCTTAATATACCATCTGGTTATTTAACATAGCCATGGGAAATGGCCCATTTATAGATGGTTTACCTATTAAAAATGGTGATTTTCCATGGCTATGTTAAATAACCAGATAGTAGTCTTATACTTTACAATCCATCCAAAAGAACTTGGGATGAAAACACGGCTCACAGTGGTCAGGTGAGAGAGGAGCCGGCCCTGCGTCGCGCCGCCGAACAGCGGGCGGCCAATGCCAGGTGGGGGGAGAAAGATGTGGGGTTTCTAAGCAACGAAAGATGAGGGACACCGGGACAACCAAGAAAAATCTTAATGCTTCATGCCCAATGGATGTAATATGATATAAATGATGTAAATGGGGATGCCAGCAGTGTCTTCATGACATGCTATGACATCACTATCTCATTACTCTCAGATTACCTCCTCCTCCCCCTGCTCTTTATCCTTGTTGTACCCGCCCGCCCTGCTGGCTTTGATACCCTCAGCCGCCTTAGCCTCAAGTTGGGATACTATGGGGTGGCTCCAACTGAATATAAACCCAAGATTTTGTTGTGTGTTTGTCCTTAAACATGACACATGGTGGATCATTACTCCAAGCTAGGGCCATTTTGGAGGATGATCAACCATCCTTTTTTGTGGTACACTATTTTTCAGACAACGTTGAACCATTGAACCACCGATCAGGCTTGCAGCCGCCTCGTATCCTGTTCATGATCAGGTGCCCTTGTCGGGTATGGCATTGGGACATAGTCCCGAAATTGGACCCTTGAAGGGTCAGGTAAGGATGAGAAAAATATGGCTGGTTTTGGAGCTCACCCTTGAACTGTGCCTGCATCGAAACTGAGAAGAGGCTTGGATTGACTCGGCTGAGGTTTGCATTGCACACATCGACACATGTCATAGTCATCCCATGTTTCAGTTTTTTTGAATGCGACCGTATCAACCAAACATAGGCCCTGCCATGAGTCGGGGGTTAAAAGACAATTCTTTCCTCAAAAGATTGGTGATTCTCAGGCCTATTAAACTTATATATATATATAAACTTATATATATATTATTATTATATATATATACATAGTTGGATTGATAGTATATTGATAGTAAATCCATGCAAATGCCGCAGTTTTCACACATAATTACTGACATACTCCCAGACTGTCCTATATTTATCATCGGTTGAATTCAAATCATGGTTAAATCCCAATTTCTGATGCTTGAATTCCCATTTCTGATGGTTAAATCCTCGAAAACTTTGATGGTTTCATGTCAAATCCACATTTTCAAGATTTTCAAGATTTTCGATTGCCAAATCACTCGTTTTCTCCATGTTTTCTCCATGTTTTGAGCGGCTGAAGTTCTCTCTTTGCAGGACTCCGGCGACTCCTCCGGGGCGGAGCTGCTGGCGGCTCCCAAGTGGAACCCGGCCGCGGGGGCCAGGCGTATCAAGTTCAAGTAGAAGAGCAGAACCAGAAACAAGAAAAGAACCAAGAGGTAAAGCAGGGCGACCAAAGATGTTTAAAGGAACTGAAAGAAAGAATGCCGATAAAAGAGATGGAAGCAGTCCAGAAGAAGAGTCTAAAATGAGAAAGAAGAGAAACAAAAAGAAAACATAGTTTGAAATAGGAGGAGCGGATGCAGATGATGAAATTGATGAACCTAAAGAACATAGAAAAAAAACATTACAAAAACCGGTGGGAACATCTATAATAGGGGTTCAAAGGTTAAGAGAAGAGTTCATAAATGCTAAAAACAAAGATATGATTACAAAAGAACAGTATGAACAGTTTGATAGTGCTTATAAGACTTGGTTTGCTTCAAAAGGTACAGTAAGTAGTAAGAAGAAACAAATGCTGAAACAAACGAGGGAGGTTTATAAACTGCACCTGTGGCAGAAGTTGAAGGATGCTTACAAAGCACAATAATGTGTCTTAATTTACTTATAGAGATAATCTTATATAAATCATAGTAATGAGTGTCAAAGGCAGAGAGATTGATGAAAACGGGTATGTAATCATTGAGCCTCTAATACAAATAGACATTGATAAGAAAACGGACTTGAACAAATACAACAGATACTACCACAGGGAATACTATAAGAAATTCTTGAGTGTCAAGGTTGAATGCCCCCTTTGTGGGTGTAGCATTCCAAAAGAAAAGTTCAAGAGACACCAGCAATCCAGCAAGTGTCATAAGATGAGAGCAAGTTATAATAATGAAGACAGCGCGGAAAAATCAGAATAAACAAGGTAAAAACATAAAGCGTCTTAAACTACTTAAACGGATGTTATTATAATATAATATAGATATATTATAATGCCATCAAAAAATATAAAGAGAAATGTAGAAGTGTTGAAGGGTCTAACCAGAGGTGCTAAAGAAGATGTTAAATACAGAGTGGATAAGGTGGTAGAGTTTTATGAAGACAGGAATATTTCACAAAGAGAAACCACACAGAAACTGATTAACCGCCTGATGAGCGACAACAAAAGAACAGCAACTTTTGCTAAAAAACATATTGACAAAAAAATTGAACAGATTGAAGGCAGAGCGCCATTAAATGAAATAATGACAACTAACAGAGACAAGAAAGACTATGTTGTAAGATTTCAGTTGTATGGCGACCACGATGTAGCAAAAGGCAGCGTGGCTTTCAAGGACAACCAAGGCAGGAGACACAGCCTGTTGAACATACCACAACCCATTCAATTTAACCTGAAAAATGTAAGGGATGAAGATAAACTGGATGAGACACTGGTAGGGAAATATGTTGTAGTAGATTTGCTTGATAGGTGGGTGGCAAGTTTGAAATATAGATTAAAGTTGAAGAAAGGCAACCCTAACAAAATCACAAGAAAACAATTTGATAAACTAAACAATAGGGAAGAATGGAGCAAAGAAACAGGTATTGATGAAACACCGCTGAAAAGAAGACGCAAAAAAAGATGGAGGTAAAGAGTTTGATATAATACATAGAACTGAATTGTTTGATAGATTATTTAAGAGATTAGTTGAAAAACACCCAGACCTGAAAAATAATTCAAACCTTAAAGACTACACAACTGCCATCAAGATTTTGGACATCAGTGATGTAACAAACACAGGAGGAAGTGGGGGCGAAACAAAAAAGAAACTGAAGGATGGGAATGAGGTTGGAATGTATCACTACACCATCAATACCGAAATGGATGTTGCAAGTGATAATTTGGTTGATGCCATCAAGAATAGGAGACATACTGATGGTGAATGCTGGATTAACACACTGATAGACCATTATGAAGAGACACTGATGAATACTAAAAGGTGGGAAAGCAAAAGAAATTTTAAAACTAATGAATTTAAGTGAAGAAGAGTTTAAAGAGAATGGGGCATCAGTTAAAGATATGGAACTGGTGTTTGAAGAATTTAAATAAACAGTCAGATTGTAAAACTGTATTGGTCAAAAGATTTATACCTATGACCCTTTGAATAAGAACAAAAACATAACCGTATTGTTTGGACTGATTAAGGGCAACCACATTTACACAATGAATGACAACATCAAGAGCATAGCGCAGAGGGATTTAGAGGAAGATATGAAACTAAATGCTTCTACTTACTTTCATTTAAATAGCAAGGAGAAGCCTGTTAAGTATGATTTTTTCAATGGCATTGATGACATAATGGGTATAGTTAAAGAGAATGAAGATGAAGAAGAGGAAATTAAGTGGCAAAAACTTGAATACCATTTTTTGTGAGTTCAAGAGGGCAAAGTATGAGCCTAAAGTAATGATGGGAGCAGGTGGCAATATAGCATCACTCAAGGTAAAGTTTAATGGGTTGATTTTGAACATCAGAAGTCAAAGTTTGATAGATTGCGCAGTGGATACTTGTATTGATAGTAGAGATGCTGATATGTTTAATAAAGTAAATGAGGCATTTTTCAATTTCAATAAGGGTATGTTCAATCCTAATCATAAGTCATATTATCATAGTGATGACTTGAACATATTTTCAGTGGCACATAGCATAGCACCCAGTGGATATTTTGAAAGCTTCATTGAAGGAAAAAATACTCACATTGAATTAGATAGGAGGAAAACCTACACTAAATCTACAATGGATGTGTTTGAAGTGCATGTCTTTTCGGAATTTGATATTTGGAGAAAGTATGATTATTCAAAGAATGATTTTAACAAGATAAATGCTTTAACCTTATATCTTGTTAAAAGCAAACGGATAAATCTATTTTTAAATAGGACTTATAACTTGATTTACGGTAAGTTTTTGAAAAAAATATACTGAACATGTTGAAATTATCTATTACAAAATTCCATCTAATACATACAAAGTTAATTACAAACAACTGATTTTCATGAACTGTGGGAATTAAAACTGGATGAGGATGAGGACGCCTCGCCAGAGGCTCGCGAGGCTCTTATCAACATTGGCTTATTAGAAAAGCAAACTCACACTGCTAAAAAATCAGTTGTGTTTTCAAAACTGGTTCATGCCTTTTATTATCAGGAAAAATACGGTGGTGATATAAGTATCATTACTGAAACTAAATGGGATGGTGAAGTGAATGATAATGATGATGATTGTTTGCTTGAATTTGATGATAAAGGTAATGTCATTGAACCTATGATTAATGAGAAAGATATTCCCGTTTTTGTTGATGAATGTAAGCATTATGTTTTAAACATTTCCGATACAAAAACTTTGATGAATGGATATAGGTTTATCAAAGAACTGATTTTACAACATCATAATTTTGATATGAATGAGGCTTATGAAACACTTATGAGGGATGGTGTCACAGTGTATTCAGAAAACTGATGCCTTTGTGATTGATAAATGTAATCTGTGTAAAGCAAAGGGAGTGTTAAAATTTGGTAGTGAGATTGGAGACTGGCGGTGGTCTGATAAATTTAATTTTCCTAAGAAGGCATTTAGCAAACAAGCCAGTATTTTATGTGATATAACTGAATATGAAAATAAAACAGGTGATGTCAAGGATGAATGGAACACTGACGAAATCATAGATGAACATATTATGACTAATAAGAGGTTGGTGATACGGGCATCACTACCGGGCTCTGGAAAATCATACATATGTAAGCATTTACAAAATAGAAATTACAAAGTTTTATTCGTTGTGCCTACCAATAATTTAAAACAAGAATGCGAAGCCGAAGCAATGACAATAAATAAATTCTTTGGAATATCTTATGGTGATGAGAAACTGGAAAAGTGTGATTATTCTGATATTGATGTCATAGCTTTTGATGAAATATATTTTCACAATGTGGGCAAGTGGGCTTTGATATGGGACTTCTGTAAGAACAATCCTGATAAAATTGTACTAGCAACTGGAGACACAAAACAACTGAAAAACCCAGAGAGAGTAAGCAATACTATTAGTTTTGAAAAATATGGCGACCATTGTATAGATTTAATTTTCAAAAATAATATTATGCTATATATATATATATGAATGTAAGAGACTGAAGACTGAAGAATATAGAAATATATTGAAAGATATTAAGAGATTGATTTTTAACAATGAACCGATACTTAATATCATTGAACCATATTTTGGATGGAGTGAGCGCAATGAGATATGCGAAAACAACATTGCTTATACTAACAAGACTTGTAGAGAGGTGAGTAGCAGGATGAGAAAAATGAAAGGCATAGATGATGAATATGTTGTGGGGGAAGAGGTGATATATAGAAAATACATTAAGACTAAAGGCAAGAAATTTAATGTGAATTTTAATTTTAGGATTGTAAATATTATTGGTAATGATGTTGTTTTAGAAAATGTGGCTACTAATGAGAAGCAACGGATAGAACTGAAGTTGTTAAGAAAGCATTATATATATGCTTACTGTTACACCTGTCATAGCAAACAAGGCTGTTCAGTGGATGATGATATTGTGATATATGACTGGTGTAAGTGGTATTGCTGTAAGAACTGGTATTGGACTGTAATTACAAGAGCAAGATATTTAAATAGAGTTAAGTTTTACAAATATGATGCTGATGAAAATGATATGACTAAGATAAGAGTAGAGACATATTTTTAGAATAAAATTATGAACTATGAAGAGCAAGATAAGAAAGCAGGTAGAGATGTAGAAGATGGGGATTATGTAGATGTAGATTTTTTGATGAACCTGATGAATACCCAGTGTGAAAATTGTAATGAACCATTGGTTATTGATTTTGAAGATGGCAAGGTTTCATCAAATATTAGCTGTCAAAGAGTTAATAATGATATTGGGCACTTCAAGGATAATTGTATAGGCTTGTGTGTTCAGTGTAATTGTGCTTTTTCAAATAAAATATCATTATAAATAATATGAGTAATAAGCAGATGATTATTAGTGATATTTATTTTGATAGAAGTGGCTATGGAATCTGGAAGCAAGGCTACTACTTTGAAAGATGCCAGAGAGACAGATAAAACTATTACTATGAAAGATGTTGAAGATTTTGTTAGAAAGAATGTTGAGATTAAGAGAAAGCAAAGGGGGCAGAACAGTTTTGTAGCCCCCCACAACAACCATACTTTTTCAACTTGATTTGTTTTTCATTTCAAAAAATGATATTGAAGCAACACAAGAGTTTAGAGCTGAGTTGGTAATGATTGATGTATTAAGTAAATATGCTGTATATAGTAGTCCCTATTAAAAGCAAAAACCCAGCCGATGTTATCGCTGGAACAATGGAAGGGCTAGAAAAGATGAGGGCAAAACCAAAACTCATATACACTGATGATGAAGGTAGTATAAGTGGTGCTGACTTCAAACAACTAGTAGAAGATGAAGGGATTGAACTTTATAGAACTAGAGGTCATCCAGCCTTCGCTGAAAGATTTATTAGGACATTTAAAGATAAACTTTTTAAACGGGTTGACAATGATGAGAAGAAAGGAACCACTAATATTCAATGGATAGATTACATAACCAAGATTTTATTAACATACAACAACAAGGACGTCCATAGTGCTACTGGACTAACTCCAAATGAAGCAAGGGAAGAAAGGAATGAGTTTAAAGCAAAACTTAATGTTTCAGTAAAAGCAAAGAAGGAAATAATATACCCTTCTTTAGAAGTAGGAGACCGAGTAAAGATAATGAGAAAGAAAGCAATTACAGAGAAAGAAAGAACTTCCCACTGGCTGAAGGGTTATTATGTTGTGCAAGAGATTGCAGAAAAGTTGAACCAAACATATTACAAATTAACTGATTACCCAAGATTGTTGATGAGGCATGAAATTTTAAAGATTTAGTGTTTTTAGAAAGCCTTGTAAGCATTTTTTCCCATCAGATGGTTGATTTGATGTGCTCTTTTGATTTCAGGGTTTTGTGTTTTGCCCTTCATTTGTTTTTCCCCACGAATTTGTGTTTGGCACGTTTGGGTCATTTGCTGGGATTACTCTATGTTCCTTTGTCCTTCCTCGCCTTGGCTTTGTCATCAATCTCTTCTTCATCCTGTTGTCGGGCGCTCAGCTGCTGGGAATATGCCAGTCGGAGGTTTGAAGCCACATGTTCTTGGAGAGCTTGACCTTGGAATTTGTTTCAATTTGAGCATATTTGAGCACCTTTGACATTCTCAATTGGAAAGCTACAGAAATTAGCTCTTTCATTTTGCGCTTGGAATTTTGTGTCATTTCTCAGCATCTTTTCCTCACACACTCGGGCACGCTTTTTAGCTTAGGGGTGTCTGCATGTTCATGGCGCAAATCCGTCTTGTCGCTTGCCTCATCATCCTTGCATTGAGCGCTGGAGCCGCAGACACCAAGAGCACAGGCGCTGTGGAAGCCTTGCAAACTATGAGTTGGGGAAACTTCCCAGAAAATCAGACCACGGCAGGCAATCTCCGAAGGGCCACCAATTGTTGCCGCTGCTACCACCACAAGAAGAAATGTTGGTTGAAAAGCTGTTGTTCACCAATCCAGTTGCTCGCCAATTTTGGCGACGAATAAAGTGCGAGAACGCGCTTGCTTCGCCAACAGGGCGACTTGCAAAACAGTGCTTGGGCAGATCCTTTGTGATTGAAAAGGTCTGCATGTACAGTATATAGGTAGGCATTGTTTCAATAGAGCATTCATGCCAGTGAGCCTTCACAACCTTGACATTCAGTGCGTTCATGCCTGATACAAAGACAAACCCTTCCAAAAACTTGAGAAGACTGGCACCAACAAGTCTGGACGCACACCACACAAATCTTTTTCACGCCATTTCGCCCCAAAAGTTTGGATGGCTGTGCCATTTGCATGGCGCTGAGGTTAAGAAGACATGGTCATCAACAAGTTCATGAAGGGTGGTTTGGGCATGGCAATTGCGGATTAAGAGAGATTTGGGGTTGAGAAAGATGTGATGTTGTTGTGATATGCTAGTTTGTATGTAGGCTGGTATGTATGCTGGGGGGCGGGATAGTATATTGGCTGAGGCTTCCCCTATAGGGGGAGACTGTGGTAATTAATCCCATATTCTTCATAATAAATGATTATGAAAATTATGTTGATTATCCCCATAAATTTGATAAACTAATTCTACTAAATTTATGTTGCAATTATATATTTTATAGGACCATTTCCAGCAATTATGATTTCTAGAAATAACACCTATGAAATAGATAAGGTAAGATGATGTATATTTGTATATGCTTTGATGAAAATTATTCAATACAATTATGATGATGATTATATTGTATATGTTTTACGGATGAGATGGATGAGATGGGTTGATATGATGAGGTTGTTATGGTTTATGTTATTGGTTTTATTAATAGTAGGTTGTTAGGATTTTGCTATTGTTGTTTTGTTTGCTTTGTTTTTGTTTGTATTTTGTTTGTAGTAGGTTGTTTTGATTTTGTTATTGTTGTTATGTTTATGGTATAATCTATGGAAAAAGGATTTAAAGGGAAAGTGTCTTATATGTTAGGTGAACTGTGGAAGATACAAAGAAAGTGTTCAAAATGTAGAAAGGTAAAGCCTGTGGGAGAGTTCGGAGAATATAAGCAGTGTAGCAGTTGCTTAAATTATTGTAGGTGATATTCAAAAAATAATCCTGAAAAAAGGAGAGACTGGGCAAAAGAAAATGTTGAAAAAACAAAGGAACTGAAACAAACAAAAGTCCATTGTGATGCTTGTAAAGTTGAAATTCAAAGGGCAGGTGGTCAAAACATATTCAATCAGAAGACCACCTTACAAATATTGGTAAAGATGATAGAGAATATTTTGAAAAAACAAAATGGATGACCTTCCCTGTATGTAATGATTGTGAAAGTTCAAGAGACACACACAAACAATAAAGCATCAGGAGAATTTGATGAAGAAGGAAAATTAGATTTTATCTTGTGAAAATATTTATAAGATGAAATGTGTTTAGGTTGTTATGTTTTTTTTGGGTTGTAGGCTGGTGGAAATTTATGTTATATTAATCTGGGCGGTGCGGGAAAAAGATAAGACAGGTCTTTGCTATATAACTCTACCATGGTTCAATGATCTTCAAATGGTGTTTAAACGTGTTTTTTTTTTGTGTGATGGTTATTGTGATGGTTAAATGCTAATAGTGTAACGCCATTCGCCATGGGTTTACTGCGGTTTTAATGATGTTTAAATGGTGTTGAATGATAGATGTGAAATTATGCCACCCAAACCCATTGTTGGATCCCGCTTCGCAGGGCCAAAGTGGCCGCTCCAGCTCGAGGATACTCGGCATGTTTCAATTGGGATGCAATCAACTCATCAACTGCTGGATGTTGGATTCTTGGAGTTCCCAGTTTTGAGACACTCCCAGCCTTAAAGCAAAGCTCTTTTTTGGTCCCAAATATCGTATCCTGAAGGGTAGGCTTCCACAAGACGATCGTGAACCCGTGTGAACCCGTGCTTCCAAATAGAAACTCTTTGGGGTTGGCAGTCCCACTCTTGGGTGCATTTTTTCAGATTTCGGTTGATTCCTATCCTGCAACCATCACCAGAGCCACCATCCAGCCATAGGAGCCACTCCAATGCCCACGTCCAAAGATGACATGATTGTGGCCTTGGAAAAGTTGGGTCTGGAGGTACGGAGCGCCAGAGTTTCATTGGATGCTTGGAAGCTAAGTATGGCGACATGTCTAAACATGTCTAAACATTTGAAAACCCTTCAAAAACAGAAGAAGACTTTCAGAGGATTGCCCCAACCCCTAACTGAACCATTGGGGACACCCCCATGACATCCTGGCATATCCATCTTGCGCCTGACAGGTCAAACTGTGCCACGTCCGGGAGTTGCGTGCCGTTCTCTTTGAAGCGCGGCGCTTGCAAGAGCTTCAACGCGAAGATCTCTTGCAAGAGGCCCATCTAAACGTCCAGACTTCTAGACCTAAGGAGGGCAGGGGAAATGCAAGTCAAACTGAAAGCAATCATCTGGACCAACAAGCTGCATTCTCGAAAAATCGGGCTTCAAAGTGTTGTGTTTTTCTCTCAAAATAGTAAAGACCAGGAATTGCAACGTCTTGTGGTGCACAATCAGATTGCAGTGTTGAAACAGAAGCTCAGCATCCTGCTTGGGCTTCCTGTTGCCACTTTTTAAATCCGTTTCATAGCAGGGAAGCAAATCAAGTATGTAATTACTTTGGTAGTCACTTGTTTGCGGGATGTTTGCACTTCAAGATGAATCACTGGCCACCTACTCCACTGCAACTTGACGTTTGGGGTGCACACTCCTTCCAAAGAACGATTTTGCTGTGCTCTTCATTGTTGGGTGGGCGTTTCACATGGACAAGGTGGGCCTATGCGGGTTCATGGTGCTGTCCTGTCTAGCAGGTGCGTGCTCGCGGCTTGCTTCCTATGGACGTGAACACCAACAGCGAAGTTCTGATTAGGCGCCAGAGGGTGGTGTCAGGGTCAAGCCCTGCAACGCTATGAAATCAAGCGAAATCAATGATTCAGCCACCATTTCGTGCAGCTTTTCTATCCGTAGAAGTGCTTCCCTAGCCTGGCGGTGTCATGGCCAGGTGTTTCTTGGAATCGACCTTTCCTGACACCTTGGAAAGCCACAACTCCAATGCTTGGACGAGGGAGCACTCACCAAGAAGTTCAGCAGATGAGGCCCGCCGTGAACGCTGCTGTTGTGCTCTTCTCCAACGGTGTTGTGCAGTCTCCGCAAGGGTTGAAAGACGACTTTCGCTGGCGCAGGATGGCTTCACCTTTCAGATCCTTACTCCCAGTCCGGAGCCGTTGTCGTTGCTGCTCAGCTGCCATTGAGGGATGGCCAGTGAGGGAACACATGCATAGCTGCAAAACCGTGAAGGTGCATTATGGATCATATGGTGGGTTTAAAGATGTTTAAAGATGTTTTAAGATGGTTTAACCATGTTTAACCATCGAAAAATGCGGAGTCAACAATCAAGAATTGGTGGGGTTATCATGGGACCGAACAACAACCAGTATTGTACCAGCTTGCGACCTGATCCACATGACGATGATGTGAGCAATTGACATTGTGTCTTCTGCCTTCCCCACAGGTTTTCAGGGAATCTGCATCCAAATATGCGGTATATCATATGGTATCATGATGAAGTGCTGCTGAAACAGGTTAAGCCTTGAAGGTTTTCAGAGGCCCTTGGCAGCTTGATGGCATCAGTCTGCCATAGTCTGCCCTCAGGTCTACTCTCTTCACCAATTCTGAGGTGAGACAGCTATTTTCGGGGAGCAGCAGGTGTCATGGCATGGTGGGTATGAAATGACCCCTGTTGGGTTGATCTGTAATCTTTTGAACATTGACCATCGTTGAGTGGTGAGCAAGATTTTAAGGTCTCATTTTCAGGCCATTTGGCCTCAAAAAAGACTTGAAAATGGGCTGACTGGTGCCATCCATTTTCGCTCCCAAAAGCAAAGGATCCTGTGAGGATCCACCTAGCAACCAATTCTCGGCAGGAAGATTTGCTGAAACAATGCCATGCTCTTAGCCAAACTCGGCCATGGGGCCGGGGTGGCTGGGTTGTCAGCAATGTAATAAGAATATCATGAGATCAGCTGATCAGCTGATCCATGAAGAAAGCACATTCTGAATCATTCTGAACTGACCCACTGTTCCTCCAATAGTTATCCTGGAAGACAGACCCTTCAAAACATGTTCTACGACTTGTACCATTGTGTGCCTGGCAATCTCATATGAATCATTGGAAGACATCGCCCATCCAGTTTAAACGGCTTGACAGTCGCCAGATCAATCACGAACAACGGTGGTTACATCACCACTGTTGATGTATCTGCATCATGATCGGTTGTTGACGTTATTGCTGCATGATTGTTTGCTCATATCCCAATGGCATCAAAAGCATTTCTGTCTTGGTCAGGATTCCTACCGTTGATTTATATCAACCACGTTAAAAGGTAGTAACTCATAGTAACTCATCATCATTTGAGTGGGATCTGAAGCCCACTATTCCTTGCCCTGGGATCACGTGCCACTGGAAATTCTGAGGTAAGGCGAGGGGCTTGTGGAAAGAAGGTGTGGAGTGGGGGAGCCCCAGTGTTCGTGGGATGGTCATTAGGTATCAGGGTCTTGAACACAACCCTTAGATGTAAACACGAAAGAATGCCCATTCGGGAATCATTGTGATTTGACATGAACATCTGTCACATCTGCGAAAAAAGATGAACAAAGTATAACAAAGTCATCAGATGTCATCAGATGTCATCAGTCATCCCATAGCTTCATCCTTCAACTACAAGCTGTATTTCACCACATGACTGAAGGGTCTCCCAAGATCTCTCGATCTCAGGTCCAAGGGCAAAGGTTTCTTGGTGCGGGGACCTGTGGAGCTCCTGTGGAGCTCCTGCGACCCCCTGGGATCATGCAGATTGGGATAGGTCGGATAGGTGAACTGCCCAGTGAACTGCCCAGGTTTTCTGAAGGGCTGCATTTTGTCGTTTTTGTCAAGAGATGTCAAGATGTTTTAAGAGAAAGGTTCCGAATTTTGACAAGAGGACATATACTTTCCTCTCAAGTAGTGATTGGCTTCTAAGACAGTGACATTTACGACATGCTGCTTCATGGCCACTTTCACCCATGAAACCAGACTTTTTCTTACACTTGGCTCAATGCCATACCGTACGTTTTGCACCGTTTGAATACGTTTTGAAGATCATTTTTCCACCTGTATTCGATTCTCATTTCCACTGGGGTGAGCCAAGGCGCTCCTGCTGAAATTAGACAGCCGCAGAGAGTACTTGCAAAGTCTGCAGGACTGCAGTGGTAGCTCGCTCTTGTAATCTACATCATTCTACATCCAAGCAGTCCAAGATCTACAATTTATTGCAGTGGAGGAATCAGCTGTCATTCAGTCTGTGATTCTGCACTTACGGGTTGAATTTCAAGATCCAGCCATATCCAGCCTAACATACCCACACCGCTTCCAGAATGGTCCAGCACAGGAGGCAGGAGCATAGACGCCCTCGAACGCGTGCTAAAAAATGTCTGACCCAGACTTTTGGAGTGCCTGACATGTGCAAAACAAAAGAAGTTTGTAAAGATGATCCCTATCTCTTTCTTCCAGGAGTCGGGTTTACCTGTTTACCTAATCTGCCAGATTTTCGATATTTTTGGATTTTCGATTCTTTCTATTTGTTTCTGTCAGATTTCATCCTTCAGCCATTTTGGGTCTGCCTCCTGCCAAGCCAGTACCGATGCGCGTGTTTCCTGTGGCCGCGCTCGGCCTTGGTGGGGCTCTGCTGGGCAGAGCCACCAGCTGCCAGGGTGCCGGCGATGCATGTATAGTGGATCTAGTGGAACCGGATGAGAATCTCTTGCTACAGCACCAAAGAAGCTCCTTGGCGCTATGGCAATTTTGATGATTTGGAGCTGTATTCATTTGGATAGCTACGGCGGATTGATGGACACTTATTTTCGTGCTGAGACTAGTGATTTGTTGAGTCGGTCTTGAAATGTTGAAAGCTTGTAGGCAACCATGCTTCGAACGACAATTTTGACGCATTGTTCCAGTGTCCAGGTGCTGGTGCCAAAAGAGAGAAGCCGGTCGCATTGGCCTTGTCTGGTGGTGGTTTTTTAGCGCATAGCCACTCGGACATGCGAAGTGAACAACTCGGACATGCGAAGTGAACACTTCTGCTTGGTGCCTGTTTCGAAATGGTTTGAGACATCTGTTCTCACTACCGGTCATGTCCATAGTGTGCACCATAGATACCATAGTCATGTTTCCGTCACACCTTTGAGATCGGTGAGTTCCGCTCCCAGGTAGCTTGTCTGGCATCTTCGCAGCTTTACTGAGTTTCACCAGTATTCAGGAGCCAAGCAGCTCAGCCATGGCCAGTCTCAGAGATCTGTTCCGGGGAAACCATATGGGCATCAATATCGATCGAGTAGGAGTGAAGTGAAGGGCATTTTCCATTGCCAACTTAGATTATCAGGAGTGTGGCACCTTCCAACCAACGAACCTGGATCATGTGATTGATGCAGCAAGCACATGCTGATCATGCTGACATCTGCAGCCGCTGGGAGTTCAGCCACAACTCAGTGGCTTCCATCATCCCATCAATCAGATTTTGTAGCCATGGCAGACGCCTATGCACAGGCAGTCTCTTCCCTGCGTGAACAAGCAGAGAGGGCGACGGATTCACTGATGAAAAATGGTTTCTCGATTAAAAAGGGGGTTGGGGGGTCGTCTGTGCACGTCAAAAGTGGGTCGTTTGTGCACGTCAGACGTTGGTCGTCTGTGCACGTTATTGTTGTGTGATTTTGTCATTGTATCTCTGTAACATGATTCTTCTTCTAGCTTTTTTTAAAACATCATCACACAACTCATCAATTTATGTTTTTTTCCCTCACATCTCTGTGTGGGGCTTTTGTTTTTAGGCTTGTATTCCTTGCCTTCTCCTCCTTCTCCTCCTGAGTTGCTTCTTTCTCTCTCAACTTCGCCCAAGTTGTCTCACACAATGCACACATTTCATCTCACACAACTCCGCTCATCTCACAACTCACACAACTCATCTCACACAACTCAACTCACTCAAGAGCTGCTTTCGTGTGGCCTTTGGTGGAGCTGCTTTCGTGTCCTCGCACTGAACTTCACCCAAGTTCTTTCACACAACTCATCTCACAACTCACACAACTCATCTCACACAACTCCACTCATCTCACAACACACACAACTCATGTCACGTATTTCCGACTTCATGGAGTTCTTTCACCCTTGTTCCCAGCATCAATGACGCTTTTATCACCCCCCCCACCCCCCCCAACCAAACCCCAAATGGCTGAGTCAAGTGATGATTTAAGTCCATGGATCCCACCCTTGTTTCCCAGTCATCAGTGACGCTTTTTACCACCCCCCCCACCCACCCAACCAACCAAACCCCAAATGGCTGAGTCAAGTGATGATTAAGGTCCATGGATTCCCACCACATCAATGACGCTTTTATCACCCCCCCCACCCCCCAACCAAACACCAAAAGTCAGTTGTGATTAAGTCCATGGATCCCACCTTGTTCCCAGCATCAATGACGATTTTATCAACCCCCCACCCCCCCAACCAAACCCCAAATGGCTGAGTCAAGTGATGATTTAAGTCCATGGATCCCACCCTTGTTCCCAGCATCAATGACGCTTTTATCCCCCACCCCCCCAACCAAACCCCAAATGGCTGAGTCAAGTGATGATGTAAGTCCATGGATCCCACCCTTGCTCCCAGCATCCATGACGCTTTTATCCCCCACCCCCCCAACCAAACCCGAAATGGCTGGTTCCCAGCATCAATGTGCGCGGATGACCGCTCTTTGTGCGCGGATGACGCGGTTTCTGTGTGCGCGGATGACTCGTTTGCAATGTGCGCAGATGACTCGCTTTCAATGTGCGCAGATGACGCGTTAACCTAAAAAGGGTTGTGCGGTTTGTGCAGGAGGTTTATTGCGGAGCTGCAGAAGGAACTTAGCAGTTGATGATTCCACCCTTCAATTTTTGTTTGGGGTAGAATTCCATAGAATTCCCAGGTATTCCAAGAACCTTTGACCTTTGCTTTTTTCTTGGAAACACTCTGTTTGCATTTGCCGAACATGTTGAGCATCCATCCAGTACTGTGTCCCTCAGACCAGGAACTTTTGGTTTGTTGCATCAAGAATCTGAGGCCCACGCCTGTTGATTATGGGCGGAAGTGGAGTGGGCAAAAGCAGTGTGGTGAATGCTTGCTTCGGGCGGCACGTGGCAAACGTCAGTCACTCGATTCCCTGTACGTCATCCATCAGCCATTTTCCACCCACGGAGCGGTGCCCCATCCACTTGTATGACACCAAAGGATTTGAAACTCAGAGCAACAACGAGGATCGGGAAGGGAAATCGAATTCGGATCACTGCCCAAGGAAAAGAAAGACTTGCGTCGAGTTTTGAAACCGATCGGTGGAATGGCTGGCGCTTGAATTCTCGGCTGGCCGTTTAGGGACTGTGACACTCATGAAGGAGGGAATTCAATGGAATTCAGATATCAATCAATCATCATCTATAGTCTATCAGATCTATCATCCCCTTGAAACAGGCTGAACAAACAATTCCAGTTTTGTGCTTTGGCAGGACATTCTGAGGGATCTCCGTCAGCTACTGCAAGAACGCCGAGACGCCAGTGCCAGTAAATCCTCACTGGAAGAGCGGATGGCCGAACGGCTTCATGCAGTGTGGTGGGTGGTGGATTTCCGTTTGGAGGTGGCCGCTTGCCATGATTTGCCTTGAACATCGAGGAGATGTCTCTGTTTTTTGGTGTTTGATTGATACTTCAATGATACTTTCATTGTCGTTAAAAATCCTTAAGTACAACTTGAGAGCAAAATCGCCTAGAATTGTTTGATGGCCACCTCATCAGCGTACTTTTTGGCCTTCCAAGGTGCTCTTCAACACAGTCGCCAAGCTTTTTGAAGATGATGAGGTGCCAATCTTCGTCATTTTGAACAAGTGCGACCGAGCAAAGGCTGAGGTGGAAGAATGCTTGAAGGCTACTTCGGATCGGTGCACTGGGGCAACAGCTGTGATCCCAGTGGTTGCTGCAGCAAAGCATGGTCCAATGTTGAAACTCTGCGAGGCTTGTGACAGTGAAGAGATTCTCATCATGTGCAACGCACGAAAGTCCTTCTATGTTTGTCAAAATTCTGACTGCCAACAGTGTGATCAACAGCAAAAAGTAAAACCGGCCTACGGCATCGAGAAACTGTTTGAAGAGACGACGGCACGCTTGCCAGTATTGGTCGCCAAGTCTTTTCGCCAAGCCGAACTGGAGTGTTTCCATGACCTGCAGCACAACGCTCACGCAATCATTGTTGGATTCGCAAGCGTCGCAGCTGCTGCTGGAGCAACACCAGCGCCATTCAGCGACTTTTTCCTCCTGACAGGCATTCAAGTGGCCATGGTTTGAAGCCACATGTTCTTGGAGAGCTTGACCTTGGAATTTGTTTCAGTTTGAGCACCTTTGACATTCTCAATTGGAAAGCTACAGAAATTAGCTCTTTCATTTTGCGCTTAGAATTTTGGGTGTCTGCATGTTCATGGCGCAAATCCGTCTTGTCGCTTGCCTCATCATCCTTGCATTGAGTGCTGGAGCCGCAGACACCAAGAGCACAGGCACTGTGGAAGCCTTGCAAACTATGAGTTGGGGAAACTTCCCAGAAAATCAGACCACGGCAGGCAATCTCCGACGTGCCACCAATTGTTGCCGCTGCTACCACAAGAAGAATTGTTGGTTCAAAAGCTGTTGTTCATGAATCCAGTTGCTCGCCAATTTTGGCGACGAATAAAGTGCGAGAACGCGCTTGCTTCGCCAACAGGGCGACTTGCAAAACAGTGCTTGGGCAGATCCTTTGTGATTGAAAAGGTCTGCATGTACAGTATATAGGTAGGCATTGTTTCAATAGAGCATTCATGCCAGTGAGCCTTCACAACCTTGACATTCAGTGCGTTCATGCCTGATACAAAGACAAACCCTTCCAAAAACTTGAGAAGACTGGCACCAACAAGTCTGGACGCACACCACACAAATCTTTTTCACGCCATTTCGCCCCAAAAGTTTGGACAGCAGGTCAACTGACTGGAAGCTTCAGTGGCATGGGCGCAATGGGTCTTGCTGGCAGGTTGCTGGGATCCCTGATGAAACTGATCCCCGGCTTTGGATCGGTGATCGGTGGCGTTTGCAATGCCGGCCTCGCTTCGTCCTTGACCGGTGCCATGGGTTTCCTATTCAAGGAGATGTTCAAACGGATTCGCTCCAAGGCCCTCTTTGGTGAGATGACCTTTGATGACCTTTGTCAGGTGATGAATGTGCAGGAGCAGAAGGAATTCTTCATGGCAAACTTCTTGGGGCTTCAGAGGGAGCCTCTCCAACAAGTACATCTACAGAGGAGACCTACCCACATTGTCAATGTCAATGTTGGGTTCTACATGGTTCTACAGGTTTAAGAAGTATGAAGTTAGTGTCTTCCGCCCCCAGATGTTCCATGTAGAGCGCACTCAAGTCTTAATTTCTCCCAGGCAGCACTCGGGGAATATTCTGAAGATTTGGTGTAGTTGGCAGATGGGAGCCCTAACAGCCCAGCGATTTGAATCATTTCTGCTTCGTTATTTTGAGCCCCTTCTCCATGCTATTGCCATTGGGAGGAGCCTCGTGGAACAGGTGGCAGCAGAAGGAGCTGAGACTGAGAATTAGAGGATGCTGATTCAGCCCGCTGGGCAAGTTGTGCCTGAAGAAATTGATGTACCGATTTCGTACCTATGATTTGAACACAGCATGTAGCACTGGGGGTGATCTGCTGTTGGCAATCAAATTGAGGCTGTGCCTGTTTGCATTCGTCAGCTGCGCAGTCCCCAGTGCATCCAATGCACGGAATTCAAGACTAGTGCCCCATGGTCCGGCCCAAAGGATGCTGGACCATGCTGCTGTGATGCTGTTGACAGCCGCTGCGGCATGGAAGTTCTGTGATCATTTCTACCTCAAACAACGTGGCAAGAGAATCGAAAAGAATCCCGGTGCTTCCGCTACCTGGGAGAGATGATTTTCGATTTGAGGTCTATCAGTGCAGAGCCAAGTAAGCGCAAAAGCATGCAAAAGCCAAAATGGTTTGCACCACTTTCACACTACCATCCCAGATACGGAGTCACATCATTCTCCAGAGCTTATTTGGAATTATATATATATATATATATATATACCAGTAGTACCGCACAAGGCGGTGGCGGAAGTTTCAAAAATAGGAAACCTATAGGAGAGATTGGTTGTTGTGAATCAGGGATGGCAGAGCGAATCCACTGATGGACCGAAAGGTGCTTGAGGTCT